GAGAGAGAGACAGACAGACAGACAGACAGAGGGACAGACATACAGACAGAGAGAGAGAGAGAAAGAAAGAGACAGAGGGAGAGACAGAGGGAGAGATAGAGAGAGAGATCATCTGTTATGATAATATTGCATGGATGACTTCTGTTGTTGGGTGATTTTTTTCCTTCCTTAAACAAATACATCTTAAAGAGAATACAAGCCATTTTTGACAAATTCATGAATTTCACCTGCACTGTGCATTACCTTTAAGGTTATCTGGAAGGTTTGACTACCAATTTTAGCCATGACAGGTTTCGATCAAGCTTACAAGGTATTTCCCTTGTAGATACTTTTAAAACAATGGAATTAAATATTTATTCCTTGTCGCCCAAGAAGCACGCATGTGTTCAAAAGAAGATGAAAAACACGGAGTACATGTTGCTTGCATTCTGGCTAATGCATCTATTAATCACTATGGCTTGTGAGTAGCAGTGAAAGTATTCCATGTGTTAGATGATGTTTGTTAGACCTCAGGTATTTTCACAGCTGTTTGACTGCACTTTACTAGATAATGTATTGTACTCATCAAGGACACCTTAATGTTTGAGGAAAGGAAAATGGATTACAGAACCCTACTCATGTCTTACTGTAGGTTAAGAAAGCTGGCCCTGGCTCTGAATGTGTTCATATCTTGTGTAGATCCAGCAGAAATCAAAACAATTCAAAATGTTTTTGTTTTTTTAATTAAAAAAAGTACCAACCAACATCCCACCAATTATCCAACTCAACATACAAAAGCAAACAAAGGCGCTAACTAACAAAGAATAACTAACCAAATTACTGAGACAACAATTTTTTAAAAATCTATCCATATCTACATGTATTTACACCTGACATCCATAGTGCACTCACTTAAATCTATCTCTCACAGAAGACATGATAACAATGTAATGCTAGACTATATAGATCACTTGATACTATGTTTATCTTTCATAGCTAATCTTTTATTGTCTAGAAAGTAAAGACACAATTTCAAATGATTATTCTGTAATCTACATTATGATATGGACATGGATATCTTCACACCTGGCGTGGCACATAATTATGTGACCCTCACAGGGAAACTTGATAAAGGGGGGGGGGGTGTTTCAGGACATTGCGTCAACTGCTCCAGATATTTTCATTTCATACCTATTCTAAGTATGTGTAGGGTTCTACATAAGTGAAGTGCTACAATGAAATAAATGGCATAAAAAAGAATTCAATATTGAAATTCTGTTATTTATCTTTATATGCGTTCACTTTAAACTCAGTGAATGCTCCATCTCAAAGGGAAATACTTATGTTGAGGGTCTGTTTGTATCTCCTGTAGATTATCCAGGGCATGACAGTAAAAGGGGCCTAATACACATGAACTTCCCTCCCTCCCAATCGTCAAAATAAAAAATGGTGACTTTAGCACTCTTAACCCCCCCCCCCCCCCCGAATCAACAAAATGTTTATTTAAACCAAAATAAAAAAAGAAAATTAGAGCCCTATAGAATGTCTATGTTTCCTAGAAAGTTGACAGATATCTTCAAAGCACAGTAAAATACATGCATGTTCACATAATTCATTGCATAGTTTTGCTTTCCCATATAGGATAATGCTAGAAGTAAATTACAAGAGTCTATATGACACAGCATAAGGGGGTTAGTTCACATCTTGCATAGATCTTATAGTTCACTGGATGTTTATCTGTGTTCACACCTTGCATTGCATAGTTTTGTTCTCCCATAGTAAAATAAAATGAAGAATTCTTTCTATACTGCATACATGTCCATGTATGACACAACATAAAGGATGTGTTCACACTTTGCTTAGATAATATAGTTGTTTCTGTTTATTTGCATTCACACTTACACTGAATAATTTCTTTGGCAATTTTGTAGTATGTCACACACAGTTGTCAAAGAGCACTTTATATGTAAGTGTGAATGCACATGAACAGAAACAACTATACGATCTAAGTAAGATGTGAACACATCCCTTATGTTGTGTCAACATGACACAGCAAGAGGGGTGTGTTCACATTGTACATATCATTTGGGACTGTATATGACACAAAATAAAACTTAATACTCTAGTTCTTTGATAGAAGAAAGGTAATACTAGAAACAGTCACATAAGTACATTCATACATGTACAGCTAGATGTTTTAATGCTTTCCCATGTATCTACAAAATCAGTAGTCAGATTTATGACCAGCTGTGCATGTGTACAGCCATGTGTATTTGGGAAAGGACAGATTTCAAGAACCCACAAAGAAAAGCTTTGCTTTACATGATACCCATCTGGCTTTCTATATTTTCTCAGTCAATGGCTGCATTGTGCAACATGTCATCTCAATCGTAGTACAGCTCTAGAAAAAAAAGTGAAATTGAACTGAAATGAAGACAGAAAATGAAAATTTAATGAAGTTTTAAGAGATAGAGCAAGAGCTTAGCTGCCAGCATATGTCTTGACTCGGGATGACATTTGACAATGCTTTCTGCGGTAACCTCCTTGCGGTTGCCCGGGGCAACCAAGTTAACTTGGCTAGCTCTGGCTTTGCAAGACAGGTGTGTGTATGTACATGTACATGTATGAAAGACTGGTGTTGGAATATAATTATTGTATATTCTCACACATATTCAATGGAGGGATGTAGCGCTAAAAGCTATTACCAGTCTCTAGTACGTAGAATGGTGTCTCTGTAACTGCCTGGTTCTCTCTCTCTCTTTCTTTCTCTTCCTCTCTCTCTTTCTTCTCTCTCTCTCTCTCTCTCTCTTTCTTCTCTCTCTCTCTCTCTTTTTCTCTCTCTTCTCTCTCTCTCTCTCTTCCCCTCTCTCTTTCTCTCTCTTTTTCTTCTCTCTCTCTCTCTTTTCTCTCTCTCTCTCTCTCTCTTCCTCTCTCTCTCTCTCTTCCTCTCCCTCTCTCTTCTTCTCTCTATTTTCCTCTCACCCTCTCTCTCTCTCTCTCTCTCTCTCTGTCTCTCTCTCTGTGTATGGATTGAACGTTACTGTACAATGCATATATTGTCTGTTGCAAGCCAAAAGGGCGTTAAATTCTATACAAAACACAGAGTTTGCACCCCATGGCTTTCAACAGATAATATATGGTGGCTGTGCATCCCTTTGTGGTCTTCTGCCAGACTCCAGACAATAGCTAGGCTTTAATTCTTCTTGAAACATGTCAGAAGGAAAAGCGTTTGGTCACAGTCTCCATGTTACCTAATGATGCGACTGTTAAGGAGAAGAACATACTTCATTTATCTTTCATTAATGTGTCAAGAGAAGATGTCCTTGCCTCGTTTCACAAGCTCCATGTACATATTAATCAAGATAGCACTGTGTGCTGAGAGTCAGAAAGACAATAATAATAATCATAATGGTGGCTTGTTATAATGCGCATCAGGTCCGCCAGGCATGACGTTCATGGCGCTAATGACTCTTTGTAAACGTATGCAGAAATGCCCTTCTGGCTCCAAAACAGACAATACTGTCTGCTGAGGAAAAGGAAAACATTGACTCTTTATAAAAATTATCATGTGGTCGACAGAAGGGCGTTATCAGGTTGCACCGTTCTGCTAAACGCGGAGATGCAATATTGCGTTACATAGGAGGTCATTAGTAGTAATATACCTGTGCAATTAAGTAATGGGATTATTATTAAACAAAACTACTCAAATTAGATAGCTACCATCCATTTTCATGTTTCATGTAATCATGTGGTCGACAGAAGGGCGTTATCAGGTTGCACCATCCATTTTCATGTTATGATACAAAAATAATCAAATTAATCATATTATTATTGTTATGGTTATCATGTTATTATTATACAAAACTACTCAAATTTGATAGTTACCATCCATTTTTATGTTTTCATGTTTAAAAAATGGCATGACTTGTGTCGAGCAGTCCAAACCATAGAGGTGAGCTACCGTGAACTAGCTTTGTGGCATGCCCATGTGCTAATTTCCTTGTGCCTGGCACACGTTGAAGTATGTGGTTGCGCCCCTCTAGCTCTTAAGCAGATGATACAGGAAATATTGAGTGGATAGGATGAGTGTTCTAAGAAAGGCATTCAATGGAAATGCTGGAATATTCATGATGTTGGAAATCTATCCATCTCGTCTGGGAAAAGTGAGTGTTGTATTAAAGGAACTCGGTTGAATGGAAAAATACCCAGGACATGAAGGGAAAAGATCCAATTAAACATATACATACATATTTAGAAGTTGTGAAAACTTGAAAAATTTGACTTGAATAGATAATATTGGAGTTGTTTCCTTGTATCTCCCCCAGTGAAAAAAACAATGAAAATAAAATCGCAATGAGATGACGAAATATATTCGGGAAAATATAGTGTCTGTGTAATTGGGTTTTCACAGATGTGTATCAATCAGATATGATTGTTTACGTCTGGGGACCGACTTTTAACATCACCATCCGACAGACGAACCTGTGTCCTCGGCTGAAGCAGTTTGTAACTTCCATTGTTAGCTGGATTACAGGCTCATGCCAAAACGCCTAGTTGGAATAATTGCAATGTACTTTATAAGCAAAGAGTATTTCCCCAATGTGTTTGTGCAACAAAACATGCATAAATATTCCCAGAATCGTGTGACAGAAGTGTCTAGTGGCATGGAATGAATCTGTCTGTTTGGAGCCAGAAGGGTGTTAACTCATATCATTTCACACAGATTTAATGTCCTTCTCACTCCAAACAGACAAAATGATTAGATTCCACAAATGTACATGTATGGACGATAGAGGCACGCAGATACATACATATACATGCATGTCCTACTCAAGCATTATGTGCAATTTGAAAATAGTCCATTTTATGAGTGATTATTATTGATTTCACCAGTGTTTGCAGTGTGCAAACATACATTTGATGTAGATGATAAATGTATGTAACTAACTAAATTATGTACCCATACACTTATTTCTGGTATATAAACAATATGTATTTTTCTTGTGTTTTTTATTTTACAGAACGCCCACCACCACGAGGAGGAAAGCCTAACAAGGCACCCAAGACACCCCTAGATCGAGTCTACCAAGAGATTGCAATCCTCAAGAAGTTGGACCATCCAAATATAGTCAAGCTCTTTGAGGTACAAAATCTCTTGTGATAAGATTCTTAAAGCAGTGTTAAGGCTCGTCGAGATGTGATGCGGTAAACGGCCGCAAAAGAAAAGCAGTATTTTTTAAACATGTCAATGATTGGCAACTGTGCACCAAAGGTCCTGTGCGTATTCACTGAACTCTGTGTTATCTGATACAGACATGTGACGCATGTTACACTTAACATCATTTTATTAACAAATATTTTTTCAGTAGGCATGGACTCTGTTCAAAACATTTAAAACCTGTTCGCAAAGATTTCATGGAACTGAATTGAGGTACCTTCAATAACCTTGTCCATAACCTGTTGAATTGTGTGAATATAACAGTGATTTAGTACATGGTTCAAATAAGATTTCTATGGGACACAAAACAGGGTACTCAAATACAGTTATATAACAGTTTGGGTATACAAGGTTAGGAAGACAAGATCATGCATAGTGGCTTGCAAATTTGTGTTTCAATTAGTAGCATGAAACTTTACGACTTGTTAATTGTAGTAATTGACAATAAAACAAGTTTATCAGTAGAACTTAAACTGTCAAGTATTTTGATAAATGCACTAATGGTTGCTTTTTTTTCTTATCTGTTTATTTTGCTAGGTTTTGGATGACCCAAATACAGATTACCTCTATATGGTGTTTGAGCTGGTGGAGAAAGGGTGAGTAAAATACATGTACAGAGATGGAAATGTGCCTTTCCTTGTGTATATATGTGTTTGTTTATCTGTTTCTTTGTATGTTCTCTGGCTCTTTCCCTCTCTATATATGTTTTTGTGTGTGTGTGTGTCTCTCTCTGTCTGGCTCTTTTTTTTATCTTTCTGTCTTTCCGTTATTACCCCTGTCTCTTTCCAACTCATCAATTCTATCTTTTCTTAATTTTTTTTCTTTTATCCTCTCTCTCTCTCTCTCTCTCTCTCTCTCTCTGTCTTTACCCTGTTTTTTTTTCTCTCTTTCTTGCTCTCATCTCCTATCCTATTTTACAGGTTCTCTCACCTTCCCTTTCTTATCTTACAATGTTTCTCTCCCGATTTTCTTGCTCTCACCTTCTCTCCTTTCTTATGCAATTCTGTCTCTGTTCTATCTCTGTTTTTTTTTTTTTTTCTTTCTCGATGTTCGTTCTCTCCCTCGATGTTTGTTCTCTCCCTCTTTCTCTTTATTCCTCCCAAACCTGGGAAAATAATGGAATTAAGGATTTTGAAACACTGTATGTGCTACACTCACCATCTGTTTCTACAGGAAAGGATGGGAATTGGTGCAGGAAATCTAGATTTTATCATTTAAGAGTTTGGTTTTCATCCATATTTGGCAGTGATCCATCCAACAGCAGGCCTATTTCCTGCTCATGTCTGCCCAATCACTCTTAAAGGAATAGATCATCTTATTTTAAAAGTGTTATTTTGTTTTAAATTGATGAAATTGATTCATGCAAGTTTGGCAGAAAACAGATGATCTTGGAAACAGATTTGGACATCAGTGATTAATCATTATTGAAGAAAAAAATCCTAAAAAGTGGGTGGTATAATGATGTTATCTGTGCAGTGCTCATGTTTTTCACCTTGATAGATTTGCCCTGATACACTGAAGAAAGTGACTGAATTTATCTGTGTGAATCATGTCTTAATTGCATTATGTCAAGATGATCAAGATATATACGATGATATCCCCTCAGACTTCAAGAATTATTCATTACATAATTTAATAACAAACAAATATGATATGTTAAATACAAATACAGGAAGTCACAGTTAACTTTGTAATTTGGTATTTGGAGTTTACCTTTATCCAATTAGTTAACACCTGTATTGAAAGACCATCTGTCCTTATTAAAAGAATACTATTTATGGTTTCTGTTGAAACAAACTTTGAAAGTGTTTTTAATGTAAAAATGTGTTAAATGAAACATTTATCAAAAGACCCCCCTGCATATAAGGACCACTAGTTTTCTTAATCTTCTTTTAATGGTCTATCTATACAGGTTAAACAGTAGTTCTAGACTTGATTTTGACAGTTCTTTTATTGACCTTTGACCTTTACAGTCCTGTTATGGAGGTGCCTTCGGACAATCCTCTGAGTGAGATGCTGGCTTGGACTTACTTCAGGGACATCGTACAGGGGATAGAGTTCTGTAAGTACCATCATCATCCTTTTCCTCTACTTGAAGCCTGATAAAAATCTCTCAACAACCGTCCCCATGCCCCTCCTAACAAAAAAAAAGGGGGGGGGGGCGGGTTCGAAAATAAAGAAAAAAACAAATGATGTTTTGTTTCTCTTGGAGCAGTGATCCTTGTGTAAGAAATCACATTCTCCCCCCCCCCCCCCATTTTGTCAGGTGCCTTTAGTGTTTAATCCTATTTCTACAGCACCCCCTGCCATGGAACATGAACGTTCAATGACCAGCGTGTGTGTGGCTATACATTAATATGCTGTAGAAATAGGGTTAAAACTTTCTTGTTGGAGGGGGGGGGGGGCAGCAGGCACCAACCCTCCTGATATGTGCTTTATAATGAATATAGCATCCATGGGTCAGCAAGTTACCAAGCAGGGATATTTTGAGAATGTGAGTTCAATGAATTCATGGGGATTTAGAACAGACACATGTATGTCTTTGAACTACTCCAATGTTGATGATTTCAGACGAGGAGGGAGCCAGAGTTTGGGAGCAGCAGAGAGAAAGTTGTATTTTGTTTTTGTTTTGTGGAGGTTATGAAAGGAAACATTTCTGTCTATGATTACCTGTCAATTATAACTCATGTTTTTTAGGTGCTTTTTAACAAACATTTTATTTTGTTTCCCCTCCCTCCCTCCTGACAGTGCATTATCAGAAGGTGATCCATAGAGACATCAAGCCTTCCAATCTACTCCTGGATGATGACAATCATGTCAAGGTAAAGTGCTTGACCCTTTTCATGACATGAGGCTGTAAATGCTTTTGAAAGAAAAAACCTTATTAAAGGCAAAAGTACATTGTAAAAGATAGATCGAGATAAGCATAGTTGGCTTCGCATTTCCATATCTTATTTCTAATAACACAAAACGGTAGGGGTAGAGAAATAATAAACAACAAAAGATTTAGAAATAAATAATAATAATAAAAGACCGTAATGTAGTTTGGGTGGATGAAAGGATGTGACCTTCTGTATCTGTATCTCTAATATTGCTAGCTAGTCAGTAAAACAGTGCATCAGTGTCGTCACCGTACAAAACTCCCTCATTGTGATTGAATCTATATCGAAAGCTTTGTTGTGTAACATATCTTTTTTAGGAACTTGACTTTGATGTATGGAGTTCTTATGACCTCTGTTAAAATTATTTTCCTTCTGCCCTTGATTTCTGTATCACATACCTTAAGTTGGTATTTCTTGATGTCAAGAAATGTGGAAATACACTGTATATCCGAGATTAAAACTATATCTTTTGTCTTGCAGATTGCAGATTTTGGAGTGAGTGACAAGTTTGAGGGGATCGATGCCCTGCTGTCGGACACCGTGGGTACACCCGCCTTCATGGCTCCAGAGTCCCTGCTGGAGGAGTCCAACAAGTACGGTGGACGGGCCTTGGATGTATGGGCCATGGGCTGTACCCTCTACTGCTTTCTATTTGGTCAGGTAAGCCACAGTGGTATAATCCATGATACTGATCTTATCAAGAAGATATCAAGATGCCCTGATATATTATGTTCAAAATATTCATATATTTGCAGAAATTTTCCTGATATGGTTATCTTCAAAAGAAGGGTACAAACAGAAACATGACAAGTGGATGATTTTTTTTCTTCTCAAAAACAAGATTTTACTCTTATTATCTTTCTTTTCCTATACATCTACAATGTACATGTACATATTTGAATTTCAGGCTGTATGCTATATAAATAATTCTTAACAGCGATATCAATTTTCTTTGTATCATTATCTTTTCATTCCAAATCTAGCAAAATCTTAAAAAGTGACCATACTTGCTTGGACCCTTCGAGACATACGTGTACATGTACCTCTTGTAAAACCATTTGAATCTCAGTATTACCAATGTGCAATTGCTTCATATAAGTTTAATAATGTTCTTGTATTTGGCTGTTTTTGCAGGTTCCGTTCCAGGACAACTTTATCCTTGGCCTTCATAACAAGATTAGGACTCAGCCTGTCATGTTTCCTGAAGAGTAAGTCTAAATTCCTCTGATAGATTTGCTATTATTAGGAAAAATGAGAAGCATTTACCGAACGCCATTAATACCATTTTCATGTTCTCTCCTGTTTCCATTTTTCACACCTCTTTTTTTTTCTCTCTCTCTCTCTCTCTCTCTCTCTCCCCCTCTCTCTCTCTCTCTCCGTCCATCTCTCTCTCTCCCTCTCCTTCTCACCCCTCTCCCCTTTCTCTCTCTCTCTCTCTCTCCCTCTAGATAATTAATGTTTTTATTGGATATTGGCCATAAATGATGAGTCTGAGAGAATAGATTGCCAACTATAAAAGGAATGATTCTGGCAAGGCACAGCAACATACAGTGCATACTTCATTGCATACAATTCTTCTTCTTCTTCTTATCGAGTCACTACACAAGTCCCGTCCAGTGGTCCACACAGGCTTTAGCACGGCAATTAAAGGCTTCCAGGTCATCTTGGGTGCATGGCTCTGGCAGGAGTGGGCAGACTAGCAGGTGTTCCATTGTCTGTTCCTGGCCGCATTCACATGCCGTTTGTTCGTCTCCTAGACCCCACCTCTGCATTAGGACTCTGCATCGACCGTAGCCAGTTCTTAGGCGGTTGAGGCTAAGCCAGGTAGGCCAAGTCTCACTGGAGCCGGTTGCGAGGGATTCCTTCGGGCTGAGGGAGAGTTTATGTGGAGTGGTCTGAAGGTGGTTAGACCACAAAGTCATCCTTTGGTTGTGAGGGCTAGTATTAAGAGGCTCTACCGAGTGCAGAAAGCTGTGTCTGGATTTGAGCCGCTTGCCCACTGGCTGTTGTTCGAAGAGTGGGTGGAGTGGATTGTTTTCTTGTTTGTCCTTTTCTTTCTGGGACAAGACCAACCTTCTGACGTGTGGAGGGGCAATACCGCAGAGCAGGTAGATGTCTTCTACTTTAGTTGGCCTTAGGCATCCAGTGATCGCTCTGCAAGATGAATTTAGAGCTGGGTCAATCTTGGGTGCATGGGCCGACCTACTCCATACTGGTGATGCATACTCCGCAGCAGAGAAGCAAAGCGCGAGGGCTGTCGTCCGGATTGTTCTGGCATCAGTCCCCCAGTTGGTGTTGGCTAGCTTCTTGAGGATGCTGTTGCGGGCTCCAACTTTTGCCTTTGTGTTGGCAATGTGGTTCTTGTAGGTAAGGGAGCGATCGAGTGTGACGCCTAAGTAGACTGGGTTGGGAGTGTGCTTCAGCCTTTTCCCATACCAGCTGATCCTTAGTTGATGGTTGGCATCCCTGTTCTTGAGGTGGAATGCGCTTATCTGAGTTTTATCAGGGTTAGCTCTCAGGTGGTTGGTCGCATAGTATGGGATGAGACCGGCCAGGGCATCACTGAGGGACTCCTCCAACTTCACAAAAGACTGGTTCTGGGTGGCGATGCAGAGATCATCGGCGTAGAGGAAGCTCCTGGTGTTTGGGTGGATCGGTTGGTCATTCGTGTACACGTTAAAGAGTAACGGTGCGAGCACACTTCCTTGTGGTAGGCCATTTTTCTGTCTGCGCCATCTGCTGCGATTCCCATTGAGAACCACAAAATATCGCCGATTGGACAGCAACATCTGGATGAGTCCAGTCAGTCTCACGTCCTTTGTCAGCTCAAAGATCTTCCTGGTAAGGATTCTGTGGTTCACGGTGTCGTAGGCAGCAGAGAGATCAACGAAAGCAGCTCCGGTGATTAGCTTACTCTCATACCCGTCCTCGATGAACTGAGTGAGGTTTAGGAGTTGGCCAGTGCATGATTTTCCTGGCCTAAACCCTGCTTGTTCTGGAATGAGATGTTCATCCACGAATGGGGCGATGCGGTTAAGGATAAGCCGCTCGAACAGCTTATATGTATGGCACAGTAGGGAGATAGGCCTGTAGCTCTTTGGACTGGCTGCGTCTTTACCAGGCTTCAATAGGGCAATAACTTTGGATTTCCTCCAGAGCTTTGGGATGTTGTTGGTGCCCAAACATTCGTTGAACATTTTGAGAAGCCAGTTGAGGGCGCCTGGTCTAAGCTGTTTGATCTGCTCGCAGAGGATGTCATCAAGTCCAGCAGCTTTGTTGTTTTTCATTGCTTTGATGGCAGCAAGCAGGTCGTCCATGGTGAACGGTCTAGTGAAGCCTGGGTCATCTTGAGAGCTTAGAGCGTCTGGGACCTTAGGGAGTCTGGCTCTTCTGGGGTGATGGTCAGGGTTTCCCCGACCATTCAATAGGAGTTGATGGGCAACTTGGTCAGCAGTGACTTCGGATCTTGGTTGGGCCTTTGTATAGTCATTGCCCAGTATCCGGATCGTTTTCCATGCCTTCCTGCTGCTATGTGTCATGTCTGTGGATTGAATGAATTCCTGCCACTTCCTCCTTCTAGATTCACCAATTTCCTTGGTCAGATTTTCTCCAGATTCCAGTGTCTCGTCACTAAAGGGGTCCATCTGGAAGTGTTCGATGTAGTCTTCATACATCACCTTGGAGTGGTCCGTCAAGCCTTGAATGTAGCTTGTGCGACATCCTCGGGGGATGTTACGCCTTGACGATTTCTTCATCAACTCTACAAAGGTGTCGTAGTTTTGGGGGGTGGCAGGTAGGTCCTGGATGTAGGAGTCAAAGTCCTTAGCAAACTTTTCCCAGTTTGCCTTCCTCAGGTTGAAACGACGTCGGAAGGGTACTGCTCGTGGAGTAATGACTGCATTAACCTTAAGCCCTATCGGTCGGTGCTGGGAGTGAGGGATTGGATCGAGAATGACTTTCTCGCACTGGTTAGCAATCCTGGTAGATGTAAAAATCAGGTCAGGGTTGTAGCCACGTCTCCACCTTGCACTGTTGAAAGAGGCAGGAAGCTTAGCGTCATGAATGAGGGACAGCTGGTTAGCATCTGCCCATGTCTCAACGAGTTCACCATCTTCGTTCATTTCTCTATATCCCCAGGAAATGCTATGGCTGTTGAAATCACCAATGACCACATTCATCCTGCCGTCAGTAGCTCTGCCGGGCAGATCGAAAGGCTCTTGAGGTGGCTTGTACACGGAGCTTACGGTGATTCCCATTAGGTCAATAGAAAGGACTTCAATGTTATTGATGTCTGATAGGTAAGATTTGTCCACAGCAAGACCATTACGGGCAAAGATTGCACTTCCGTATTGGTCATGTGGTCTCTCTGCGATGAGGGTCATTCCGGAGATACGAGGGCGAACTCGTGTAGGCCCGCGATGGGTCTCCTGGAGGCAGAGAATGTCACAGTTGGTTGTTATGCATAGGTCAGCCAAGAGTTCTTGTTTGGCGCCTGAAAGACCTTCAATGTTGGATGAGATGATACTCAGGGCCGGTCCTGACAAGGACCCATGAGTTCGACCCTGGGCCTCAGCAACAAATTGGTCATCATTGCCATTGGTAGCCATGGTGTTGGTTGTGGTAGTTACTAAAAGAAACTTGAGTAGTGTGGTTGAAGGATTCGCAGATTTTCATCTGACGGACCGCGACGTGAACGCTCCTTCAATGGCCCCACTGTTTTTACTGTTCTCCTACACTAATTAACTATACTCTAGATACAGTACAGGTGATTGATCTGCAGTTACCTCTAAGTAAGCTATATGGTAATGCAGCAGAATTAATGATAGTCTATCGTATATATTTTGAGGAGGTATCAGCAAGGTAGACTAAACTATAAAAAATATTTAAAGAAAAACAAAAAAAAAGGATAAAGACGTATGACATAAAAAGAATATAATCGAAATGTCCGACTAGGTTCCGTGGCACAAACTCGGCATTATTGGACAAACCTACCATTGGAGAAACCTAACAATTACAGAGCTTGGTCTTGTTGCTCTGTTCGCCAGCAGTTTAAGGATATGAAACCCCGCGGCACACAACTCACAAGAGCTCTAACAAGCCAAGCTTATACAGAGCCTAAAAGTAAAATAAAATAATACCGCGTATGTACCACTCACCCAATCGATTCAAGAACAAATTATGATTAAGTTAATCACGTAAAACAGGAAAATATAAAAACAATAATTGAATAAAAACCAAATTGTGAACTATAATAATATTATCAGCACTCAAACACACCCAACGCACATATCAGTACAAAGCGTAATAATATCTTTACAAATCCAGTAATATAATTATTTATTATTATTATTATTATTATTCATTTATTTATTTATTTATTATTCATATTATTTCATATTAATAGTAACATAAAATGTTCATATTGTAATAAAGGATAATTCCTCTGTGCGTACTTCAAATGAAAGGCGCTGGCGCAGGTGTATGCGCAATTAAAAACAAAGAAGTAATAAAACAAATAACAGAGTGCGCAATATGTTGTCACTGACAACAGGTGTTTAGCACTACGCGCATCAAAAACAACTGCAATTTTGACTTCCTTCACTATCAAAAAGCCAAAATTTGATCACTAAATCACCAAATATATGAAAATCAAAAAGCTAAATCAAAAGACTCATCCTAGAAATGGCTTGTACGCGTCCAGATCATCACTTTAGTACCAATCACAGCATAGAAACAAACGCCAAAACGGAAAAAAATATAAGAAACAAGGGAGCTCAGCAGAAACACGTCCGCCTCCGCTTGCAGCTCCTCTTATCATAAGAATATAATCGAAACAATTCTTCTGAGATATGTATTTGCAGATCTAGTACCAGAGTGAAAATTGTCCTGTTCATGTATTTTTCCTTTTTTGGGGCCTCAACCCCCTAGAATAATCAAAATGTATGTATATGGGGCACACATGGGGTAGTTCTGACTATGGACAAAGGACTAATGGAATTCAGTTCCTACGACCCATGGGATCCATATACTCATGTGCATGTCTAAAAACAGACAGGAAATCAAACTTTTCATACAATTCCATCAAACTTTTAAGGCTTTTTTTCTTCTTCTTATTTGGCAGTATCGAGGTTTCAGCTGAGGTGAAGCATCTAATCTCTAGGACGTTGGAGAAAGAACCCCAGAAGAGAATAACACTACCTGAACTCAAGGTAAGAAAAGTCTTTCTGACATACGGTAGACCACAGCGGGTGCACCATGGTTTATTGGTAAAGGCTCTTGACTCTCATACGAGAGGTCCAGGTTCGATTCTTTCATGGTGCTTGCATCCTTGGACAACACGTTTTACCCGTATTTGTCTTGAACTAAGTGTATTAAATGAGTATATGGTAGTCCTTAGCCCCGTCTTTTAAAGAGTTGATATTAATCGCGACTTATTTGCGATTGATATAATAGAAAATTGTGATTGATTGGAGGACTTACGATGGATTGGGATCAATCGTAAATCTAAAGCAGTAGGCCTATCATGTAACCAAATTTAAACTTAGATAATTTACTTCGATAGTCAGAATGTAAATTGCATATATTATAATAATAATAATAATAATAATAATAGTTTAGTTCTTGTATAGCGCATAATTGATTGGAGGACTTATGATGGATTGGGATCAATTGTAAATTTTTAAAAGACATGATATGATAATACCTGCTAGCTGGCCATCAGGAAGAGCAGTGTGCAGTAGGCCTATCATGTAACCAAATTTAAACTTAGATAATTTACTTTGATAGTCAGAATGTAAATTGCATATATTATAATAATAATAATAATAATAATAGTTTAGTTCTTGTATAGCGCATAATACGTCATGAAATAACATCTCTATGCGCTTCCAAAGAGCTTTGTGTCGCTATTTAGGACAAGCCATGATGTTTGTTCTACCTAGCAGCAACTAATGTATGCAATTTGAATTCTGAATATTGAGATGCATTTATTCGTAACAGGTGAATGAAATAGTTTGTATTGAGGAGCTTCACAGAGGCATATGCATAGATGTAGTTACGTTACAAAAATGGCCTATTGTACGACTCATCTTTTCTCATTGTTTTTTCCTTTGTAGGAAGATCCCTGGATAACGCAACATGGTGAGGAACCACTGATGTCACAGGAAGAGAACTGTGTACTGGTCGAAGTATCTCAGGATGAAGTAGATAGCTGTATCAAACGACTACCAAAGATTGAAACTCTTGTAAGTAGCATGGCCCATCAGGCCTGGTCAAAAATTACTTTTAAAACTAACCTTGTGAGATGCAAGCACTTAATCCAATGACTGGGGTAATAGTATATTTGTAAAGCGCTTAGAGACATTTGTATTAAGCGCTATATAAAAATTCAATATTATTATTATTATTATTATTATGTATTTACAATTAAGATGTAAACTATTGAAAGTACAGGTTGAAAAGTCAGTTCAAGAGGTAATGTGAAGCAAAATTGTTTATCATTAATTCTGTGATCCTCTTTTTAAGACTAGATGGTGCCTAGATAATGTACTACATGTATTATCTTCTTCTTCTTTTTTTTCTTCTTTTTTTTTGGGGGGGGGGCATGTTCAAAAATCAGTCCAAAAGGTAAGTTATTAGTAATGCTGTAATAATCCCTTTAAATATCCTAAAGATTTTTAAATTATATTGTGAAGGATGATGATAAGACTAGATGATGCCTAGATAGGTACTATTTATCTTTTGAAAAAGTAAACAAAAATGTTTAAAAAGCAGTCTAAATGGTTATGGGAAGCAATATAACATTTAAAGAGTTCTGGAATTTTCACATATGAAGTCTCTGTGAAATTCACCATGAAGTATGTGCTTAAAATTATATATACTTTCACAAGATTTTTAAAAGCACCCAAACCCCCAAAATGCTCCTTGTCTTTCAAGGTTGTGCAAGAATCTTCATGGTTATAGGAATTAACCTTTAACCCGTTGTCTACGGGAACCATGCAGGTAGCTCCTGTCTTGACCCTATGGGGACGAGAGGATTCAAGGGTCAACAAGTTAACTTTGACAAGAATAATATGGAATTAGTTAGCCATACTTGTAATGCATGTATTATGATTAACCCTATTAAAATCTTTTGCCCATATTCTACTGAAACTTGACCCCGATACTGGGCTTGAGAATTTGTTCAAACTCTGATTTAACAATGGAAGTCTTATGTCCAACTTTTCCTTTTGTTAAACATGATTTTAGACCCAGAGTCGGGTTTATCTGAATAAGTAGAATATGGTCCTTTGATTTTCCGCAGTAGATAAGCAGAGCTGCTGAACACAAACTGAAGTGAGTTCAATATAAAGTTATTCTTGTGATATGGTTTTGTCTCCTGTTCAGATACTTGTGAAGAATATGCTGAAGACTCGATCATTTCATAACCCGTATAGGAACTCAAGGAAAGGGAGATTCGCTTTGTCATCCCTTGGGTAAGATTTAAACTAGATTCATTTCGTGCAATCTTGGGGATATTTCATTTTAAATGGATATGCGACCTCACAGAGGGTGTTTCACAAAACTTGTCATCAGTGACAAATGACAGTTTTTGCCATAAGCTAGTGAAATTCTTGCTTCTGATTGGTTATCAGCAGATTTGTCACTGATTTTTGTCATTTGTCATTGAAAAAAGGCCTTGTGAAACACCCCCATATCCTGTATGTTATTATTGTAATTCTAATGAGACTCGCAGATATGTGCATGTAACCATTTACTGAAACTAAGAAGATAAGCAACACTTTAAATTCTTCAAATTGTCATGTGCCAACACTCTTGAAAGAAATAATTGGGTTAGATATTATATAAATGATGCATGCCAAGGAGTTCATTATCTGTCTTTATCCTTCAATTAGATGTCGTGCTTTGTTTAATCAGTGCTCATTCAGCCCCAACAAGAGCGGATAGATTGCATAATGAAGGGATGAAAACGTGTAATTTGTTTTATACCACAAATATGCTAGATCCTTGTTCTTTGACTTTGAAAGTATTCTTATTAAGATTGGTCCATGTCATTTTCAATGGCAAATAAATCCCAAGTTTAGTAGGTTAACTGTAGCGTAAGTACACACAGAGTATAAGCCCAATTACCTCTACATGCGTACACACCCAGTGCTACTTGTGGGAAAATAATAATGAATATTTTTCAAATTAAAATCTTTGACAAAATAAAGCCTGAGGCATGAGTCAGATCACCACTGTCATAAATGTACGTGTATCTGACCCTCCTAGAGGAGAGACTTCAACTTCTTGTTCCATAGTGTTCATCACTTTTCTTCATCGGATGTTTCATTTTGGCATTATATCTTTCCCATATCTCTTCAGCTCTAGTGTGGATAGTAAACCCGAGGCTACCGTCAAATAAACCTTCAACCCCGTCATACTGACTTCTAGTAGACACACTGTTTCTTGTAAGTCCAAAGTGAAGGGAGATCGACCAATGGAAATGAACTGTACCAGACTGAGATTTTGGCTCAATGTGATGAAAGGAGTCTGATGGTGGCACGGATTGGAGAAGCCGGTTCTGACAGCCTCTGGAGAGTGGAGTTTAAGGATTGGTTTTAGGAGGATATATTTGTTATTTTGTTGAAGACTCTGGTTGAAGAAGTGATCCAGCTGGAGGGATCTGAGTTACGTCTGCACGTGCCATGAAGATATGGTGATCGAGTCAGAGAACGCTGCTACGTGGAGAGCGAATTTTATTTACCCACCCCTTGCAAGAGTAGACATAGAGCGGCCTTAGAAATGAGGGAAGGAAGGAAGGAAGGAAAAGAAGAAACAGGAAAAAGAGATGGATGATCTACTGCTACAATATGGATCATCTCTGCAGTTCTGGTAGAGCTGGAGGCAACAAGGCTGGAAAAGATCTGATGGGAAAAACCTGCAATAAGATGTCCTTTTGACTGTGAATGGCTCAGAGATGTTCTCGTATTACTAATTATACCTTAGCCCATGGCTTATAAAATCAATTACGCCATATACACATGTTCATCTGTACATTGCTTTTGCTCATATGAATGGTTTTTAAATGTATATTTATTGAAAAGGTATTCAGTATTCTTCTCCAAGCATTATGTATGTGTGGCCTCTTACTGCTGACAGTTGATTTTGTAGGGCTATGTGGCGATTAGCATGTCATGTTAAGTGTTGATAGGGTGCATGAAGATCAGCAGAAATCAGAGACGTTCTTTTTAGTTGTATTCCTCGGTCACTTCCCTCTTTCTCCTCTCTTTTGTATATTAGAAGATTCATTAGGAGATTCACACCCACCCCTATTCCACCCTTTCTGCACCTTCAGACCCCCCCCCCCCCCCTCCCCCGATTCATTCCCTTTCTATTCATTCCCCCTCTGATTGTCTCTCACCCATTCCACGCACTCTTAAAACGCTTTCTGTTTCCCCATCCTCACTTTCCCTTCTCCTTTTTTCTTTCTTTCCCCTCTCTCTGCCTATCTGCTTCTCTCTCTCTCTCTCTCTCCCCTTCTCTCTCTCTCTCTCTCTCACTCACCTTCTCTCTTTTTTCTCTCTTTTTTCTCTCTTTCTCCTCTCTCTGCCTATCTGTTTCTCTCCCCTTCTCTCTCTTTCTATCCCCTTCTCTCTCCCCTTCTCTCTCTCTCTCTCTCTCTCTTTCTCTCTCTCCTCTTTATCTCTCTATCCCCTTCTCCCCCCTCCCCCTCTGCCTATCCGTTTCTCTGTCTCTCCTCTAACCTGCCCCATCCAAATAGCTGCATACATGTATGTGTACATGTAAGTGAACAGAACAAAAAAATTGCAATACTCTTTGGTATATTTGTGTGACATTTGTCTTCTGCAAACTGTATGCTAGTCGACACGAAGCAGTGGATCATTCCAGTGAAGTGTGTGTAGTAGAAGGGCATATGTAGCTCCTATCCTTTTAACCAGTAGAGGGTCATTCCATGTCAAATCACCCAATGGTTTTAACCCGACCATTTTTTATTTTGATGAAACTTAGTGTACTTGTTGAGTGTGATCTCACAGCACCAAATCCCAAATTTTAGGTCAATCGGGTGAGGGGTTTGGGAGATACGGCCCACCAAATTTTGAGATTTTTTCAAAAATGGGGGTGGCGGGCCTACCTTTGAACCCTTGTATCTCTGGACCTAATGGGTCAATCTTCACAAAATTTGTATTGTTGGAAAGGGAATTCAATAAGGATTCCAAATCTGCCGCCATTTTGAAGATTTGTACATGTTGGGGTACCTTGACCTCTTGACCTCAGATTTGACCTTGAAATTGACCTTGTGGATCACGTAACTTTGACAACATTTTTCATGAAATGTAATCTCTGACATGTTCACTAAAACATATAAAAGTTTCAGAGATATAATATTTTTTGTTTAGGAGCAATAAGGATTGAAAGTATCCATGCTCACAGATATTCACAATAAACCCTATTATAATGTATACAATACATGCAATATGCACAGTACAACATACATCTTCCACATGCTTTTTTTTTTTAGGCATATCTATCCTAAATGTCAGTAGTACTTGAATAGAAATAAAATGACAAGTTCATATAGGCCTAAAGGGTTAACAGGATGTATGGCTTTAGGCCTCTGAGTCGGTTCTAGGATAATTACCCCCCTGGAAAATAAACCCTCAGGAAATGTCCCCCCCCCCCCAAGGACTATCACACCCAGAGGATTATTACCCCCCAGAAAATTACCTCCTAGGACAATCTGTCCCCCCCCCAAGGACAATTAACCCCCGGACAATTTCCCCCTAGGACAATTACCCCCCCCCCCCCCCCCCCGGGAAAATTACCCCTCAAGAATAATATACCCCCCCCCCCCCCAAAAAAAAAAAAAAAATCTGCTTTGATTAAAACCACTTTATTATCAGGATGGACTTCCCCTGTAACAAATGGGGGGGGGGGGGGGTAATTGTCCTCTGGGGTAATTGTCCTTAGAGGGTAGTTTTCCGAGGGGGGGGGGAATTTTCCAGGGGGTAATTATCCTAGAACTGACTCAGAGGTCTAAAGCCATACATCCTGTTTACCCTTTAGGCCTATATGAACTTGTCAGTTTATTTCTATTCAAGTACTGCTGACATTTAGGATGGATATGACTAAAACAAAAAAGCATGTGGAAGATGTATGTTGTACTGTGCATATTGCATGTATTGTATACATTATAATAGGGTTTATTGTGAATATCTGTGAGCATGGATACTTTCAATCATTATTGCTCCAAAACAAAAAATATTATATCTCTGAAACTTTTATATGTTTTAGTGAACATGTCAGAGATTACATTTCATGAAAAATGTTGTCAAAGTTACGTGATCCACAAGGTCAATTTCAAGGTCAAATCTGAGGTCAAGAGGTCAAAGTACCCCAACATGTACAAATCTTCAAAATGGCGGCAGATTTGGAATCCTTATTGAATACCCTTTCCAACAATACAAATTTTGAGAAGATTGACCCATTAGGTCCCGAGATACAAGGGTTCAAAGGTAGGCCCGCCACCCCCATTTTTGAAAAAATCTCAAAATTTGGTGGGCCGTATCTCCCAAACCCCTCACCCGATTGACCTAAAATTTGGGATTTGGTGCTGTGAGATCACACTCAACAAGTACACTAAGTTTCATCAAAATCAAAAATGGTCGGGTTAAGATTTTCAGATTTTTTGGGTGATTTGACATGGAATGACCCTAGACCTTTTATCTTACAATGTTTATGTGTCATAAGGACGTTGTAACAGCAATGATGGAGCTTGTGCTGCTGGTAGCTTATGAATGTACATGTAGAAGTACCCTGTATTGCTGTGCATATAGGCATGTACAACTCAATGGCGATATCTAATGCTTCTATTAGTGCCAGAATGTAGCAAATGACATCCAACATTTTTAAGCCAAACAGGGGTATTATTGAACACTTCCTATGAAAGACTAGATTGCTATAAAATCTAAGTTGAGTGAAAGACATAAACATACATTTATTTGCATGATTACCGGTGATAGTGAAATACAAACTCATTGAGGGAAAGAAAAACTACATATGGTCTGTTGAGAGCCAGAAGGGTATTCACTCATATACTTTAACATAGAGATAACGTCCTATTGGCTCCCATTGGACAATGCAGCTGAATTTGTTTATTATAAAATGTAGTAGATGTATAAGCATACATGTACCTCATCATTTGAATAGGAATAATTTTTGCCTAACTACACTGATTTTATTTTGATCAGCCTTTTCAAATAAGCTACTGCACAACTCATTTTTTTCTTTGATTGTAGGATCTAAGACCAGCTGTGTTTACCTCTTGTTTTAGCTGAATGAGTCAGGAAGAGACGTTTGTTTAAAGGTGGGGTAGTAATATCTGAAGTCCTTTGGAAGCACATAGAGACGTTGTATCATAGTGTGATATGCGCTATACCAGAATGAAATATTATTACTATTGATATTGGATTTTAGACATGACAAATATTGTCTGACTAGAAGATTAGTGCATCAATCAGGTATTGGTGTTATACGAACCAGTTTTGATATGAGATGATCAAAAGGTGACAACGGTTATTGATTAATTGATTTGTTTCTTTCATGATTTGATGTTTCAATGCTGCAAGTTATGGTTGGAAAGAGAAAAGTCAGTATGACATTGATGCCGACACTGGACAGCGATTGCATATTCCTGTCAATGTTGTTGAAGGAATAGACTTTTTTTCAGCTTTTTTAAAAAAGGTGTCGGCATATTGATGTATGAATTGCATATGGTGTATATCGTAAGGGATGTGTTCGAAGGTGTGGGATGAAGAAGTATGTGAATTAATTCATGAATTTGAATTTTTTTCCCGTTTCATCAGGATGTAGTTGTTGATTTTTATCAACAAGAGATTAGATATTTTGTAAGATGAAAGTTTCTCCTGATTTGAACAAAGAGGGAAAGTTTGTTCTTTTGTAAAATTTGGCTTGTATAGATGAACAAAAATCATTTCTGTGTGTATTTTCCCCGTGAACAGTAAGATATGTGGCACATAAATTGTTGCCACCATATGTTGAAGAAATTAATTAACCATTATTTTGGATAAAGCTAGAAAATTAAAATAGTAAGGCCAAACTTAGTGTCAAATTTCAAAACCTTAAAAATGTAATGGGGTAAGTTATTGGTTGCTGATCTCATTGGTAAAGAAGAAGAATAAAGACTCTTCAGGTTTTCCTGTAGTTCACAATTAAAAACAAAACTGTAACATTTTGAAAGTGCATTGGACAGAAGTTACAGAATGGCCAGCTGCTTTGTCATTAAATCTAACACCATTATTCCATTAATATCCTTGTAACTTTCTTGAAAGTCTTTGAACATCCTTTGGGGAAAAATATAGGCATGGAGCAAAGTCATGCATACATTTGAAATATTGCTCTCCTTGTAAAAGTACTATAAAAGACCCCAATCACCAAAATGTGTATTTCATATAAGTAAGTTACTTACTTACACTTATATACTTACCGGTACACTCCTGGCAAGAGTTTCTATGTTTTAGGTTATCTGAAGAAAAAGAAAATACAGGAGACCTTTAAATGGTTGATAATTTCAGAGCCCAAGGGATTTGCCAGAAGCCAAACCGTCATTTTTGAAGAATTGCTAGATATTATTTAGTTTTTGGATGGATGAAAAAGTATAATTTGGAGTGTTCCAATAGACTCGATGTGGCATCATGTCCTTATAAAGAGGAGAACATTTGCTTTCACGCCTGTACGGAGATGAGCTGTCTCTACATTCAGGGCCTCTTATGTCAATGGGAAAAACTTTCAAGGGAATGAAAGTATTGTCTGTGTGTAGCCAGAAGGGTGCTAACTAATATCATTTTACTCAAAGTTAAGGCCCTTCTGGCTCCAAACAGATGCTATGTTGCCTCTCTATTGCATTATGACAGGTTTGTTTGTATTAGCAGAGATTGTGCGTTGTCTGTACTATAATTTTGTGCCGCTGTCAGTATATTGAAAATACCCTCAGTGAGGGCATATTCAAAAGCCAGAATCTGATACAAACGATTTTATGTGCCATTATTACTTTCCTTCAGGTCAAAGATTTTGTGTCATTAAAAAATTCTTTAATAAAACAATTATTCTATGTATTATGGTACGAACAATAGTCCTAATTGTACATAATGTATATTTGCATTCTTTTATTATAAAAGTAAACTTTTTTGTGTCATTCCTGTTTATATCTTTTTTTAAAACAAATTATTGCATCATCAAAGGAATTGTGCTTGTGTATATATTAATCTTTTCAAAAAGGAAACTGTATATGTATATGTAAGACTTTTGTAATTTTGTGTTTCTTCTTTTACTTGCTGAGTTTCTGAGCAAGTCTGCTGTAGGTACTAATAGTTAAACATTTGAGACAATGTTTGAAAAAAGAGGTAGTCTTTGTTTTAGACTAACTAGTCTTTGTTTCATAGTACATACCTGAATTTTTATTAACATTTGTAATGTTTTTTTGTAGTAATGATGGACCCATAAATGTATCATGAAATCAGTGAGCCTCTTTTCATCTCAATTTGTAATTTAATTGAAACCCGACATTGAGGGTCAATCATGGGCGAACTTATTGAATAGAATATTATATAAATCATTTACAACTGTTCAAAACAGAAATAATAGATACAATAATTGTATTCCCTTTTTTGATTACTTACAAGAACAAATGAACTACATTTTTGTCACATTCATTATCAAAAGTCCATTTTATTTGCACTTGCACATATTTTTATAAAATGTGAAGTAAAGTGAATTGAACAAACACCAGCAACCCTGTTGACAACATTTTATTGATTCTGTCCAAAGGACTAAACATGGTTTTGCCCTAAATCAATCTTAAAATTGATAATAACTCTTTTTTTATGAGATCAAACTAATTATGTCAACGAATCTGTTTGCTGAGAGCAAGAAGGACATTAACAGTACATACACTTTCACACATAATTTGTGTACAGGTAGAATATACACTGAACAAAAATTAATTTCAGGTGATTTGTTCACTTTAATCTTTATTCTCAGAATTGTAATAGTTTGGGTATTAGATTTCAGTGATACAAAAACCAAGTAGATTTCAGCAGTTAAGATACGTGAGGTGCATAATTTAGAACTAACTCAACCTTTGAGTTGTATCAGAGAGTAATTATTGAAGCATATTAATTGGTATGACGTACAGGTGGCAGAATCACAACAAATCTGACTTTGAATTTAAAAAAATGTAAGAAGATTAAGCACATGGCGATTTACAGATTGAACTATTCCAGCATTGTCAGTGTATTAAAAAGCAAGTATATATGTATGGTATAATATCCAGGTACCATTTTTGAAGTGTGAAATAATTTAAGGTTTTCACAGACAAGTTTCAAAAATTTATTGTACATTAATTTTTGTTCATAAACTGTTCATAAACTGACAATTTGTTATTGTTCCTGGTTGACTTTTGTTTTCTCCCATTTACAATATTCTGAAGTCATGATGTGGTAGGTAATTAAGATGGACATGGTACTGTTTTTTGTATATTTACTTCATTTGAATTTCTGTGGAAAGAAAGAAGCATTCAAGCATTGTTTTTGTAGAAAATAAACTGGGACTTATTCCGACTTATTTTCAAGAAAAAATGTGTCATCAAAGTTTGAAGAATTTTTGATTGGGAATGATGTCATTATGGAGGGAATTATGTGAGAGTCAGAGCTAGAGAGAGAGAGAGAGAGAGAGAGAGAGAGAGAAAGAGAGAGAGAGAGAGCGCGAGAGAGAGAGAGAGAGATGGTGTGGGAGAAAGAGCGAGTGCTCGAGAAAAGGAAGGGGATATGAGTGTGGAGAGAGGGGATGAGAGAAGGGGATGAGAGAAGGGGGTGAAAATAAAGATAAGAGAGCGAGGGTTTTTATGTGTGTAAAAATGTGGGAGAAAGAGAGAGAGTGGAGAGGTATACCGGTAGGAAGGGCAGAGAATGGTGAGAGGGGAATCGAGAGATAAGGAGATGAAGAGAAAGGTGTGTGTGTGTGTGAGAGAGAGAGAGAGAGAGAGACAGAAAGAGAGACAGAAAGGGGTAGTGAGAGAGAGAGAGAGAGAGAGAGAGAGAGAGAGAGAGAGTGTAGGGGTGAGTGAGTGTAAGAGATATATATACATATAAAGAGAGAGCAGGGGTGAAATAAAAGCTCATTGAGAGAAGAGACTTTTAGGAGAGGATCGTTGGACGAGATTAAGTGATAGTAGATACGAGAAGAGTTGCATCAAGATTTTTAAAGGGCTGGGATGTCAAATTTAGACTTTTAGACTCTCAAGCAAATTTTTTTTTGGGGGGGATCCATGTACTTCAGGGAAAATTGTCCCCGGGCTGGCTGCCCTCTCCCTCTTAACAAAAATAATAATAATAATAAAGGAATAAGCATATAACAAAATAGAATGGTGAAGTCAGTTAGCCATCAGTCCAAAGTTCTGCAAACCTGATCAATGGAGTGAATGGGGAGAGCAAAAGAAAACGGCTTTGGGTCCAAAGAATGCCCAAGTCTAATTTACAAAAATTGCTCATTTTCTTCATAAAAAAGGAGAAAAATCTCAACCTGCAAACATCTTTGTATAAGAGCTAGACCACCCCGCCCCCTCCCCCATTCACCCGCTCTAGCAGCTCTAGCTATAACTTTCGATCAATGTGTACGTGCGGGTCTGGTGGAGCAAAGACTAAGCAAAGAAAATTGTTTTTTTTATCTTGGAAGCCAGAGCCTAGACATCCTAAATTTCAGGCTTCATCTGAATTCTGACCTCATTTGACGTTCATTGTTACATTAGTAAGTAAATTTATTTATAAATGTTTAGATTGCCTTTTAAACTTAACGTATGCATTACGAATATTGTCGTGTTTTGTATTTTATATCGGTGGTGATGACTTTCTGGGAGTGATACCGGTCCCGTACATAGTATTTCGTGTAACCTAAACAGTTAAAGTCATTTCTACAAACTCTAATCTGCTAAGTACGGTACGGTACGGTCGGTCGGTCGGTATGGTAAATACAATATGCAATTTATACTGTGTAGCAATCTTAATTCCACTTTACGTATCAATATCACTAAAATCATTCACACAATGCCATTTTACAGTCATAGATCTAGTTGGATCATGACATAGAATCTAGACTGAATTCTAAATTCTGAAATCTGAATAGATCTAGAACTAGAAGTTTGTCAAAATTCTCATCAAAACTTTTACCTTTGTCTTTGACAGGGTTGTCTCCCGCTTTTGGAGGGAGTCTCACGCCACCATGCTCATTCTCCCACCGTCCCACCAGCTTGAAGCGGGAGACTCCCTACCACGCCCATCCCCCCGCTCTCCCGGTTTAACTTTATGAAAAACGTGTGAAATGAAAATCTCCCGCGTTTGTTTCTATTGTGGTTAGTTCGATAGCGTTTAATTAGGACAAACTAGCGTATAGTATCGTATGCAAATTGTCTCGGCTCAGGGGGGGCTGTTGAGTAAAAACTACATTTATTTTTTATTGATTATTGATTTATTTGATTTTTATTTTTAGTGCTCACTATCACCTCTGAAGAAAAGAAATCTTCCTCCAAGCAGTTCCCCAAAGTTGACAGCCCTGCTTTTGAAGCATGAATAATGTAAATTGTCCAAGAAAATACATTGCCACTTCAATGCACCTTTGTCAATACAAAAACAAAAAATTATATTATTCATTGACTGCCACTCCCTTTAGATATATTGTACAATTCTAATGTCTTTCAAATTCAAACACAGGACAGTGACCCAAGGCAGCTGAAGTGAAAAAACTTCCAGGACTCCAGGAGAAGCTGTACTTCTTTCTCAGGATGGAGTCCGGCAGCTGTGAAGTGAGTGAGGTCCCAGACTTTATCTACGTTGCTGGTGGCCAGACCTACGTCGCCACGTCCCAGGAGGAAGTCAGCAAGATCATATCATCCTACGAGAGGGCAACCATCGCCAGATTCGTCGTCGAGCATCAGAGTACTAAGTTTGGCACAGAAGGTATGAAAAGGCAGACTCTATCTCTTTCTAGATATTTTTGCATAAAGCTGCTAGCTGGACACTGTAAGGGCTGAAATAATTTGTTAGAAGCCAGAAGGGCGGATACTGAAGACCAGGGGGCCGTTTCTGGAAACCGTCATTCGGTATAACTTCTTAGACATCCCATTGAAACTTGTTTTGTAGAATTAATACCGTAATTAACGGTGTATTAACCGCACCTTTTTGCCGCCGAAAAAAATTCAAAGTCGGGGGGTGCGGTTTATACACGGTACACCAAAAAAAAAAAAAAATTTAAATTAAAGTTTCTATTTATGCCCCTCCACCTGGCGCTATGCCTGGTAATGTCTCCCAGCTCAGTAATCGGTGTGATGACTCACCACTCGGAAACTAGAACAACACTCAAATTTGTCTGTCATCTTGGTTTGAAAGTAATCTTTCTGATAGATTTCAATATGTAGTTGATAATAATAATTCCTCCAATTTTTCTTCAACTACACGGCGTACCACAAGGTTCTATCCTAGGTCCTCTACTGTTTTTTTTTAGGGCGAAAAAGAGGGGTGCGGTTAATACACGAGGGCGGTTTATACAACATTAATTACGGTACACGTTTCTATGGGATGTCCACGAACTTAGACTTACAACGGTCTTGAGAAACTGGCCCCTGAAGGCTTGGAGAATGGCCATAAAGGAAAAAAAAAAAGGTTCAACCCTGCAGCATGCGAAAAGGGGATGCTGAATGATGATGATGATGAAAGCACATCTAATCATATCAAATCATACCAAATGTAGGTGTTATGAGTTCTCTTCACATCTTTTCACCTCTTGCTAACTTGCTATGCAAAAGTGTAATAAAATCAATAAGTGGTAGGAAAATTAGTTTTTGTCTCGCCTGCGTAGCAAAAAGCGAGACATAGGCGCCGCTTTTCCGGTGACGGCGACGGCGACGGCGGCGGCGTCAACATCAAAAACTTAACCTAAGGTTAAGTTTTTGAATTTTTGATATAATTTTTAAAGGCACACTGCCATACTTGTAGCTACTTGCTCCCTCTATATAGAAAACTTCCCCAATCGGTGCCTGTTGGTCCCCCATGATCCTCTTTCTCTTATGTTAAATGAGAGCTGAGTTAATGAGATAGCCACCTGTCACAGTGACCTCGATGGCTCGCTGTGTGGTCTAATCCCTTCTTGCCCAGTAGTGGTGACGGTCTTTAAAGTATAGGCTCTTAGTCAATGAAACTTTGACTATAGGGTAATCAAGTATCCTCAATCATGTGAGTAGAATTTCAGATCACAAAGTCAAGGTCAAAGGTCATTTCAGGTCAACAGACTTGGACTATGTTGTAGCATCATCATCGAAAACTTAACCTAAGGTTCAGTTTTTGAATTTTTGATATAATTTTGAAAGTATAAGTTCTTAGTCAATGAAACTTTAACTATAGGGTTATCAAGTCTCCCCAGTCATGTGAGTAGAATTTCAGGTCACTAAGTTAAGGTCAAAGGTCATTTAAGGTCAACAAACTTAGACTTTGTTGTGGCATCAATATCAAGATTTTCAAAATGCTTCTTCTTCGTTATTTTTCAATCGATTTTGATTCTGACTGTTTCATATGATAGGGCTAGGAGGGGGATTTAAGATTTCTGCACAGAATCGTGAAATTAATTATCTATGCTAATTTATGCAAATTTATTTGAAATCACAAAAAAGGCTTGCTCTCCTTCATTTCTCAACCGATTTTGATTTGGTTTGCTTTATTTCGTAGAGCTAACTTTGGTACACTAAACTTCTACACAGAATTTTGAAATTGTTCTCCATTAATTAATTATGGTAATTTATGCAAATTTATTCCAAAAATAACAAAAATTGCTTCTTTTCCCTCATTTCTTGATTGATTTTGATTTGGTTTGCCTTATCTGGTAGAGCTAAATTTGGAACACTAAACTTCTACACAGAATTTTGAGATTTTTCTCCATTGATTATTTATGGTACTTTATGCAAATGAAATGAAATTATGTCCCTTCCAGGGCATCGAATTTTTATTTTTTGACCAGTTCAAAAGTGTACCACAAAAAATTTAAGATATTTGTTGTTGCGAGATGCAGATGAGCGCTACGTCATTGACGTTCTGGTTTATCATATTGAATTGCGTTATGCAGGCGAGACCGCCGAGAGCGTTTCCCTTGTTTAGAAGAAGCTGCCTCCTCTCATTGTAGATTTACTAGTCGGGTTACCTCCTTCAGTTGAGGGAATGCGACAAAAGTAGATATACTGTTTCTTTCACTTATCAATTTATTTATCATCCATAGATTGGCATGGTAAGAAATTGTTTCGCTGGTCTCTGAAGAGTGTTCCCTCAGCCTTTGGTCCAGCCATCGTCATAGGAACCAAGGTGCTTTGCTGCCACCAGGGTAAAGACCGCCACCTGAACTTTAAGAAGCTCAAGAGAGAACAGACGAGGCAAAAGAGGATGGTAAATATTTCTCCTTCAGGTTTTTCCTATTGTTATCCTATCGTTTATTGTGGGGGAAGGGATTGATCAACAGGTAGGTACACTGGCTCTATGGCAGGACTTTGTTAACCCTTGATCCACATTGAGGGAAACATGGCATTGCAGCATTCAGGGAGGGGGGGGGGGGGGGGAGGGGGTTGCAGTTTAGGAGGACTATGTATACCTGCAGTGCTCCTCGGTGGGAATTTGTTTACCTGTCGTTAAGTGAGTGAAATGTGGTTTTGTAGCTTCCTATTTGGTGGTTTGGGAGAATCAAAACAATTTTTTTTACAACAACTTTATAAAAACAGTCCTAAAAGTGATTGGAATCAAGGTTATATGGGTGGCAACTATTCAAGTCTGTCAGAATGTTCAATATAAAAACTGTTGAAATCTAGCGTATAAGTCTTGTATTATGCAGGTGTCATTTGTAAGACGCACCTTTTGACCCCCTGGGGATGGTGCGTCATGGTTGCGTCATGTTCCCCAAAATTGCGACGCACAGTACCGTCATGGCCGCAAAATGTCCGTCACAATACTGACCCATATGTGCGTCATAGTAAGTCACTTTACCACGTTGCGTCATTTGGTGTGTCAATGGGACCGTCACTTTCTCCAAGCAGAAGTGTTTCTCAAATATGCGTCATTGGCTAGTCATTTTCATGAAATGGTGTGTCATATGTTTGACTCAAATGTGCGTCGATGGAATGTAATGGTGTGTCACTTTCTGTGACGGAAGGTGCGTCATGGTATCAAAATGTACGACTCACATCGGTACAATGACGCACCATTCCCGGGGGTCAAGAGGTGCGTCTTACAAATGACAAGTGCATTAGGACTGTGAATCACAAGGTACAAGTTTCAAGTCCTTCAACAAGATATTGAATCCACACTTGACTCAAGTTGTAAGTTGTTACCTTGTTCATTTGAATATTCATAATGTCATATGGGCTATGAACGAACTAAGTATTTAGAATGTCATTTCATTTTTATCTACCTTCCCACAGGCTAAAGATCAAGACATGAAAGAGAAGGATCCCACATCTAGGAAGTCTACCAAGAAGGTGAACTGCCCTGCTGCAATCTATATCAAGAAGGTTGCATTCTTCCCAGATTATCAGGTAATATTGAGATAAGTTTGCTTTAGTTTGTTAAGATTTGAAAAATTGATTGGTTAATTGATCGATTGGTTGCTTCATTCATTCATATTTATTTATTTATTTATTTTATTTATTATTTATTATTAATACTTATACCACGCTTTTCCCATAAGGCCCAAAGCGCTGAATGAATTTTGGATGCTATTAATATATTGATCTTTGTAATGAACCAAAGAATCTACCCATTTAATTTCCATGTGAGGGGCTAGGAACTTTCACTGAAGATTCATGTCTTCCCCAAAGGCAGTCTTATTGGTTCAATTCATCCCTTTCTTAGTCTTTGTAAGGCAGTATGAGTCTACATTTGGTAAATCTTGACCCCTATGAAATAAATTAATAGCTGATAGGAGAACAAAAAAGATGCATTCTTTATAGACAACTTGTCTTTCTATACCAGTGGAGTCTAAAGCAGGCTTCACTGTATTATTATCATCCCTGTTCATAATATAGCCAAATCTGCTTTGCAACCCCCTGTATAGGACCACCTGTCTATAAAGACCACTTGTTTTGTTTCCCTTGAACAGCGTTTTTCACTGAATTCTGTATTGTAACCTGTACATAAAAACACCTGCCTTGATGAAAACCACTTCTCATACTTCCCTCAAGAGGTCATTACAGGTTTCACTGTAATAATAATATGTCTTGCTCTGTCTTTCAATACATTGGTAAAGGTCACGGAAGCCACACCCCATAGGAAGAGAATGGCCTGCAAGCGCTTCAACCAGGATCGCCTCAAGAGACCCGAGTCCATCAAGGTCGATGTCAAGTTCTTTGTGACACTGCCTGACTCCAAAGACCACAGAAACCACCTATCTGGAGAGGTAGGTTATCTCTTGATCCATCTTTTCAATTTTTTGCATTTAAAAGGGTAGCGTAACCAATTTCCGGTTAGGGTTGTGATCGATTCCTCCCAATATTTCATGAGTAATATATTTCATAAGGTTAACGAAACACCATTCATGATCTCCTAGTACATGTCTTGAGTGATTACTCTAAAATGCACAGCGTGGAATCTATCAATGTTAATCTGTGGATATTTAGGGGTCATGTGTGTCATGTACTAAATTCGAACTGGTCCATTCTTTCTTTACAGGACCTCTTCAAGAAAATCATGAAAAACAGAACTTTGTACGACCCACAAGCTAGCATACCTAAGAAAAAGAAGAAGAAGAAGTCAAAGAAACGCAAGAAGCGGGAGAAAAAGACGAAAATGGCAGAAAGGGAGCCGGAAGGAGATAGTTTGGAACACATGGAATTTTCTTTCCTGCCCAGCACGTCATCTAGAGATGGAGTGAGCATTTCAGAATACAGGATGGATGAATCAGAACAGTTAGTCAGTGATGAGGGACAGGGAAATGGTATTCCAGGACAAGATCTCAATGCTATGAGACAGAGTATCCATGTTGCAGGACCAAGTATCCATGTTGCGGGACCAAGTATGAGTGTTCCAGGACACAGGATGGGTGTTGCGGGACAGAGTATCCATATTGCAGGACCAAGTATGGGTGTTCCAGGACAAAGCATGGGTGTTGAGGGACAAAGGATGGGTGTTGCGGGACACAGTATCCATGTTGCGGGACAAAGTATTCATGTTGCGGAACCAAGTATGGATATTGCAGGACAAGGATTAAATGTTGCGGGACAAAATGTAGATGTTGCGGGACAAAGTTTAGATGTTGTGGGACAAAGTTTAGATGTTGCGGGACAAGATGAGGATATTCTGGGACAGGATCTGATCACTGTGGACCGAAGGCAACTTCTACCAATGGACCATCTGTAGAAGGATGTCTTTTTTTCTTGACGCTTAGATGGATGTAGGTGGAGAGAGGTAGAAGATATAAGACTGCCTGGTTTAACTGCCACTTGGTATTACAAGTAGTGTGCATGTAGTACATGAGATAGTTCATAGGGCATCTTATGTTTTGAATGCAGTCATGCTTACTAGTTCTCATTGAGATGAATATTGAAGGAGAATCATTGAACACCGAGACCAGCAGAACGTTTAACCTGATGAACAGAGTGTGGTCTTTGGGCATTTCAGTATGGCTTGATGACATTTCTTATTTTCGCTTATAACTTAACTGCTCCCTGCCACCGAGGAAGCATTTCTTGCCAATCTTTATAGGTCGTTTGAACAAAGTCAATATTGTAATTTGTAAAGCTTAGCTATGATGTCCACATCTCAATATAAAGCCAATTTAGATAAATGAAATACCTTTGAAGGGATCGAAATGGATGGTAACTTTTGAAATGCCAGAATCTTGCTTATGTACCTCTGAACATGTCGTCTGTTTTTTGGTGCTGTCCTTTATGTAAAATCATTTGAGCATCCTCATTTTTATGGGCAATAGTTAATTAACTGAGTGAAAGAATATGTGAGACATTACAGCTTATGTTGTTTCCCTTCTTGATCATGCTACAATGTGATTTTTGACTGAGAAATCAGGTAAATAAAATTAAACCATGAATGTAATGCTCTACAGATTTCCTATTTTTAGGAAATGGTTACTATTTTGTCATTATGAACATGATTTTTATTAACATAAGTGCCCACTCTTTGTATTTTGAAAATCTCTTGCCATCATAATGTGTGCTCCTTTCCATTGGTCAACATTATTATTGTGATGTTAAGTAGGTATAGACTTACTTGTACCTGTTTAAAAAATAATAGACGTTGACAATACTACGCTAGCAGTGAAAAATCTGAATTTAATTCTCAAAGTTTAGTATACAAATATACACCGTCTTGAGAGGTTCTGGTTGAAACTATGGGCAAGAGGTGACTATATCTAAGGCAGGGTTTATTTGTTTTTTTTTATCCTGCTTTAAGAAAAAAATTAAAACACTAATTTCAATTTACACAAAAATTTGACAATTTAAAATTTTAATGAATTTTTTTAAAATTAAAAATGTTCAACTCTCAAATAGTATGTCTACTCCCAAAAGGTTTTTTTTTTTTTCTTCTTCAGAGTAATCTTAAAATGGTTTTAATATTTCTGGTCGAGAGGAGAGCTCTCTACCAATCAAAAACCAATAAATCGTTGAGTATAGACAAATTTTGTATATAAAGGACATTATTTTTTCCCCTTCTTAATATTAAGGCGCTTTGTCAAGTGAAGGGGCCATTTCGACAACTTGTTATTTTGGCTAGTACTCAAACTGATTTGTGATGCCTCTACATATTGGACTCTAAGTGGAATGGTTTGTCAGTACTTAAAAACTATTTATGTACAATGTTGTCACTTTGAACAGCATCAATGATGAGCAATAATTGGAATATTAATGATAATAAACTATTACTTGCCCATTTCAATAATGATATTGCCCTGTGGTATAAACCTTACCTAGCCGAACCAATGCTCTTACAGTATTACAGTATAAACGTGTGTACATGTATGTAGGAGAATGTTTTGTTAAGTTATAATTAAAGTACCGGTAAAGAGCAATGGGATTAGTAGGTATCCTTGGGTTATTACTCACCTGTTTGCCCCATTAACTAGAGTAGGACAGTGTATACACAAACTAGAGTTGCTCACTCCACATTGAGAAAGAAAATATTTCAATATTTAAATGTTTCTTTGTGCAAAGTTATATGTTTCAGCAGGTAACTATGATGACCCAGTTGCCTAATCAATCTCATTTGAAACTATAAAATGTTTCCATTGCTGCTCAAAGAATGTGATACCCGGTACTTGATATCTATTGACTGAAATATTCTTCCGTGTATATTGCAACTCAAATATATTGTGCATTGGACATTGTAAAAAGGAATTTTATATTCTAATTTATTCTCTCATGCTATCTTAATGTTATGCTTGTTCGTGTATGGTTTTTGTACTGCAATTGTCTATGTGTTCTGTGGAACCAGTTACTGGTAAAAGATCTTTATTCTTATTTGTGAATAACATGTATTTCAAGAGGAGAAAAGGAAAATGGACCCTATTTTGCAGTTGATAAATATCAGTGTATGAAAAATCTAGAATGACTAAAGGAAGATATCGATATGAGATCTTTGGTTCATAATTTTAATGATTTTAGGCAGAATGCCCTCTTATCGTAAATTTGGAAGGCACGTGTCAAAATCTTGATTAAATAAAGACTAAGTTTTTCTCACCTTTTTCCAAAATCTTTGAGGAAAATTCCTTTTATTGGGGGGGGGGGAGTATGTTCTACCCTCCTTAAAACTTCCCCCCCCCCATGTATCATTACCATTTGCAAGCATTATCAATTACAATGGAATTTACAAAAATTAAGTGTAGAAAATAGAAATGTTTTTATCGGTACTAGAGATCATTTATCCTGATCAAGGAATCTAATTCATATTTTTGTCTTACATTCTTTGAGGTCTGTAAACAAAAAGTTTGAGTATATTCATCTCATAAAATGAACAGTAGCTGATGCTATGTGAAATAAATGTCTTCAAAAGTGCTGCAGATGGCCTCAGTATTCTTTGCAATTATGTGTAGAGTCTGCAGTGATGGTTCTAGGGGGCGGAGGAAAGGGGGTGAAGAAGGGGCATTTTCTCTTCTTTTTTTTTTTTCGTGGACGACTGCCATAATTTAAGGGTTTGCACATACCTCCTTATTTTCAAATCCTGTTAAAGTACCATTCAAAGGTGTGTTTTTTTTCCTCATGATTTCTTGGCAGGCAGATTCCACATATATTTTGAAATATCATTGTTTTTCTATATGAATAGATAAAAAAATAATTACCAGTAACCATTCTAATATGATGAGATACCAGTATGTAAGATATGTGGTATAGGATGCATTTCAAAGTAGACTTCTGCCCAAGTTCTCCTTAGCTTAGTATTCAAAGCATTAACATGCACTAATGCATGCAACTCTTTCTACAAAAGAAATATAATAAATGCAATGATATTGTGGGAATGACTGATAAGAGAGAGGGAGGAAGCAAATTAAGTGGGAGAAAAAAGATAGGCTGTGAAAGAGAGAGTGAAAAGAGAGAAATAGAAAAAGAAAGTCAAAGAGTGAGGTGAAGTTGAAAGAGAAAGAAAAAGGAGATCAGAGGATTATGAAAGTAGCGAACAAAAAAAGGGGGGGGGGCAGTGTGGGAAGTGAAAGAGTAGAGGAGAGAAAGTGAGAGAATTCACTGTAATGTCAATTTAATCCAGTTATGCATTATGCTATCCTTTGACCATGCTTCTAGCTGTAGAAAGTAGTTATGGAGGAAACACATTCAGGGCCTACTTGTTTGTCTCTGACAAATGCACCTGTCACTTCAATTCATTTTTTTCCATCTTTAAAAAAAAAGAACAAATATAACATAGTATTGACACATTGTATAAAATAATAATATAGATATAAAAATGGAGGACTACCCTTAATAAGCAGGGCCCCGATCATCATTTCACATTTTGTGATGCTCCGGCCTCGTCTTTTCTCGTCTTTTTAAATTTCAAGTTTACCTAAAGTATAACAGGAAGAGCTAGCAGATAAATAAATTATTCGAGAGGGGTATAGCTAATTAAATTCAAGATTTAGATCTATATATTTTAATTTGTGATTTCCATATTTCTTGCAGAAAAAAATATCCCCACAGAAATATTTGCAGCTGCAGGTGGCATTTCCCTTACAAAAAAGTTGTATAGAATTCTATAGAACGCTTTATAGAGTTCTATAGAACTCTATAACATTCCAGATTCTCTATAGAACTTTTAAGGATTCGCTATAGAAAGCGGTTTCCTCTATAGAATTCTATAGAATAAGTTTTAAATTTCTATAGAAAAGTTAATTCTCTATAGAATTTTTAAGGTTGTCTATAGAAATCAGTTTCCTCTATAGAATTCTATAGAATAAGTTTTCTATAGATTTAAATTTCTATAGAAAAGTTAATTCTCTATAGAATTGTTTAGGTTGTCTATACCCAGGACCAAAATCCAGTTGAAACCAATTGGAGCAAAACCAATTGAAACCAGTTGCCAACTGGTTTCAATAGGGAAATTGGAACAACTGGTTCCAATTGAAACCAGTTGCCAACTGGTTCCAATTGAAACCAGTTGAAACCAATTGCCAACTGGTTCCAATTGAAACCAGTTGAAACCAATTGCCAACTGGTTCCAGTTGCCTAATTGGTTTCAACTGGAACCAGTTGTTCCAATTTCCCTATTGAAACAAGTTGGCTTCAACTGGTTTCAATTGGTTTCAACTGGTTTCAATTGGTTTCAACTGGTTTCAATTGGATCCAATTGAAACTTACAGTTGGCATAAACTTAATTAGTTATAAGTTAATTAGCTCTTGCACTAATTATTGCTCATGTCAACACAGAAGCATTGTTATATGTGTCTACATTAAGTACAATGTAAAGGGCATTATAATATGCAGACCATATATTATACTTAACAAGTAAGGTATTGCCATTATTGTATTTGATGTATTTTGTACATGGTTAGTGTTTTACTAGTGTTTCACTAGTGTTTTACTTTTAATCTGTGTAATTACAAAAATATGTTACTAATTAATGAACATGCTTATCATTGCTAATTAATCTTTATATTTATCTAAAACAAATGCATTACTTGCAAATGAAAGTTAATTAATAAATACATTGTAAATCAAAATAAATTACATAAAACGTTGATCTGCACACAAGCAGATAATATGCAAATTAACTGGTTTCAATTGGATCCAGTTGGGTAACTGGAAATATTTCCAATTGGAACCAATTGGGTAACTGGAAATGAATTCTAACTGGAACCAGTTGGGTAACTGGAAATGAATGCTATAACTAGAACCAGTTGGGTAACTGGAAATGAATTCTAACTGGAACCAGTTGGGTAACTGGAAATGACTTCTAACTGGAAATGAATGCTAACTTGAACCAGTTGGGTAACTGGAAATGAATTCTAACTGGAACCAGTTGGGTAACTGAAAATGACTTCTAACTGGAACTAGAGGATTATGTTATAGTTTGATGTTAATTAAGGGTATCTTCTTTAATCTTATTTGTTTACAGACCGTGATCATTGTTGAAGTCTACTGATATCGACTGACACAAATAGCCAGATCTTATTTATGATCACGGTGACTATCAACCATGCCTGTCGTCGCTTGCCCCATCCCTGGGTGTGACTACACTACCCCGGACCTTGAGACTGCCATCGTAGCTGCCTTAATCACTGCCCACAGCGCTTTCCACACCGCTGGACCTGCCGCCAAAGTGGAGAAGGTTAAACGTCCTACAGTAGCTGCGGCTTGCTCAAGTGAAGAATGGGCGTACTTCTTGTCTCGATGGACTGATTATGTCGCGGCCACGAAGGTCACCGGCAGGGACAAGGTTATCCAGCTGCTCGAATGCTGCGACGAACCCCTACGTAGAGACCTCACAAGATCAGCTGGTGGGAGTCTGACCGGCAAGCCCGTGGACGATGTACCGACAGCCATCAAAAAGCTGGCAGTCCGTGAAGAGAACTCTATGGTGGCCCATAACATGCGCCAGGACCGAGATGAAACAGTACGCAGTTACGGGGCCCGCCTACATGGCCAGGCAGACATCTGCAAGTTCCTCATCAAGTGCCCCGGCTGTGACGCCAACGTCAACTACACTGACGCCATCATGCGGGACGTCTTCACTCGGGGCATCAGTGACCCCGAAATCCAGCTTGACCTCCTTGGCAACAAGAATCAGGACATGATGCTGGAAGAGGTGTTCCAGTTCGTTGAAGCCAAAGAAGCCGGCAAACGATCTGCCTCCTCTCTCCTGGACTCTCACTCCTCAGTGGACGCGGCTAGCAGCACCTACAGGAAAGCCAAGGTGACAACCATTAAGGAGAAACAGGACCTTTGTGGTTACTGCGGCAGGAGAGGGCACGGAAAGAGTGCCCCGGCCAGCGTCCGACAAACTCGGTGCCCAGCATATGGCCACAAATGCACACATTGTGATAGGCCGCATCACATTGAGGGCATGTGCCGCAGCAAGGACAAACCTAAACGCTCATCGCCTGGTGCCCCAAATGATACCGAAGGGGCTATCTTTGATGCCCTCTGCTCTTGCCACACTACAGACACGCCCCATCATGGATCAGCCATCCCCCTGGACCACCACGTCTATGACAATCTCACCAATACGTGGCTGAAGAGACGGTCATCGCCCCAGCCTTTCATTGGCGTGACCCTCAGGATCGTGCCTGATGACTGCACTGCCTTTGGTTTAAACCTATCTACCCCTACAGTGTCTTGCTCGGTTCCTGCTATGGCAGACACAGGGTGCCAAAGCTGTCTGGCTGGAATCAAGGTCATCCGACGCCTTGGGTTACGTCAATCGGATCTCCTACCGGTCGACATGAAGATGCGCACAGCTACTAAAGGCGGAATCCGGATCCTTGGGGCCGCCATCATCCGTTTCTCTGGCAGAGGCGACCGAGGACAGGTCATTGAAACTCGACAGATGACGTACGTCACTGACAGCTCTGAAAAACTGTTCCTCAGCAAGGAGGCATGCATCGCCCTAGGGATCATCCCTGATACCTTCCCTACATTGGGTACGACTCAACCGGCACACCAGGTAGAAACACAAGCAGCCCTCCAAGATGATTCTGGGGGACCTTGTGACTGCCCCAGGCGTCAACTGCCTCCCCCACCACCAACAAAGCTGCCATTCCCTGCCACTGATGACAACCGTATGAAGCTACAACAGCACCTCCTGGAGTACTACCAATCAAGCACATTCAACACTTGTGAACACCAAGTCTTGACCCTCATGGCCAGCCCACCCTTGAAACTGATGGTCGACCCCGATGCTGAGCCAGTTGCGCATCACACCAGTACCTGTTCCACTCCACTGGCGGGATGCTGTGAAAGCAGGATTGGATCATGACGTGCAGTTGGGTGTGCTCGAACCGGTCCCCATTGGCGAGCCTGTTACCTGGTGTCATCGGATGGTAATTTGCGCAAAGAAGAATGGCACACCGAGACGAACTGTCGATTTCCAGGCGCTCAACGCCCACGCCACACGCGAGACACACCACACATCATCACCATTCCACCAGGCTCGTTCGGTCCCACACAAGAAGAAGAAAACTGTCTTTGATGCATGGAATGGTTACCATAGCGTGCCACTCTGCAGAGAGGACCGTCACCTGACCACCTTCATTACCCCCTGGGGCAGATACCGCTACAAGACGGCCCCTCAAGGATACATTGCCTCCGGTGATGGATATACCAGATGTTATGATGAGATCGTGTCGGACATTCACAACAAAACCAAATGTGTGGATGACGCTCTGTTGTGGGCGGATACATTGGCGGATAGCTACTTCCAAGCTGTCGAGTGGCTGGATGTCTGCGGTCGGAATGGCGTAACCCTCAACCCTGACAAGTTCGTGCTGGGCGCAGATGTTGTTGAGTTTGCTGGATTCGAGATCACCCCCGACAGTGTCCGTCCATGCAAGAAATACTTACAGGCCATCCTGGACTTCCCTACACCGAAGAACATCACCGATGTGCGCTCTTGGTTTGGGCTTGTCAATCAAGTGTCCTATGCCTTCAGCATGACTGCAAAGATGCTGCCGTTCCGCCAGCTCCTGAAGCCTACCACAACCTTTACGTGGGACGAGGCCCTCCAAAGTGCCTTTGATGAATCCAAAGCCATTATCGCCAATGAAATCGAGGAAGGTGTGAATTAGATCTTTGACCCGAGCAAGCCCACTTGCCATTTTGTTGTCCCACTGGATGGCAAATCACGCTTGTAGGCAGCAGGTTCACGCACGCCGCTGAATCTCGCTATGCTCCGATCGAAGGTGAGGCCCTCGCCGTGGCTGATGCCCTAGACAAGGCCAGATACTTCGTACTTGGATGTGAGGACCTCATCCTTGCTGTCGACCACAAGCCCCTTCTGAAGATCCTCACTGACCGCTCCCTAGCAGACATCCCCAACCCTCGTCTGAGGAACTTGAAAGAGAAAACCCTGCGATACAGGTTCCGGATCGTCCATGTCCCAGGTGTCCGACACCGTGCAACGGACTGCCTCTCACGTCACCCGACTGGTGCACCTCAGAAGTTACACCTGCCTGACGATGTCGCGACCATTGGTCCTCCCCCAATCAACTTGACAGAACCCCTGACACTCATGGCTGGCTTTCGCGCTGACACGGGTGCCGACGCCATCGAAGCAGGAACCTTCTCGTCTTCTGTGTCCTCCCTGGACTCCCTGCACCTCAAATCTGTCACGTGGGACAGGGTGCGTACTGCCACAGCCAGCGACGAGGACATGCACTCCCTTGTTGGCTTAGTTGAGTCCGGTCTACCAGCCTTCCGCCATGAACTCCCGAGTCCCCTCCGTGCCTACTTTCAGTTTCGGGACGATCTTTATACAGTTGATGGAGTTGTGCTTTACAAGGACCGCATCGTTATCCCCCCTTCTCTCAGGGAGGAAGTGCTGACCCACCTCCATGCTGCCCACTAAGGGGTCACCTCCATGACCGCCAGGGCAGAGGCATCTGTCTTCTGGCCCGGCATCACCCCTGCCATCTCCACCCTCCGTACTAGATGCGATCATGCGACCACTGCAATCGGATTGCGCCGTCCAACCCTAGTTCGCCGCCAGCTCCGCTGACTTCCCCGGCCTACCCATTTCAATGTATTTGTGCTGACTTCTTCCATTACAAAGGCTGCAATTACTTGGTTGTCGTCGACCGATACTCCAACTGGCGAATAGTTGAGAGATCTACCCACGGCGCAGATGGCCTCACCGCTTGCCTACGACGCATCTTTGTCACATTCGGCATCCCTGACGAGCTGGCCTCAGATGGTGGCCCCGAATTTACGGCAGCAGCCACACGTCGGTTCCTCCAAGACTGGGGTATCCATCATCGCCTTTCCTCCGTGGCATACCCCCATAGCAACTGTCGTGCTGAAGTGGGTGTAAAGACCATCAAGCGACTTCTCCTGGACAACACCAGCCCTACCGGTGCCCTCGACACTGACGTATTCCAACGTGCGATGCTTCAGTACAGGAACACGCCTGACAGGGACACCAAGCTCTCTCCCGCCATGTGCGTATTCGGCCATCCTATTCGGGACTTTATTCCGGTGGCACCTGGCAAATACGAGCCTCACCGCACTTGGCGTGAGACCTTTGCGGATCGGGAAGATGCACTTCGCAATCGCCACATGAGAAGTGCTGAACGCTAGTCAGAGCACACCAAGCGGCTTCCGCCCCTTACAGTTGGTGACCATGTTCGTGTACAGAACCAGATGGGACCACACCCCCTTAAATGGGACAAGACTGGGATCGTGGTCGAGGTTCGCCAGTTCGACCAATACGTGATCCGCGTCGACGGCTCCGGGAGAGTTACACTACGGAACAGGAAGTTCCTGAGACAGTATGTTCCAGTGTACCCACGCCCCCCTCCTTTGGTGATGGACGGTGACTTTGGCACAACTCGTCCGAGGACTCGACAGCCCGTCCTGCGGCCAGACGTAGGGGCCCTGCCACGTCCTACTGAACAGCCTGGGGATCCCGCTTCAGGCCCTGAAACAGCCCTACCCATGGTGCCACCACTGGCATGCGCTGACTCCCCTGCCACCAGCCAGCCGAGACCTGTCATGCCCGCTGCCCGGGCAGCTCCTACGACCCCTGCCGCTTCTGGGACGTCCAATGGCCCGCCCCGTCGTTCTCTTCGCCCATCTCTGGTTGTTCCTGTCCCTTCTGTCGACACGCAGTTGCCGTCACTCACACCCGTCGGCCGGGCCAGTGCTCCTCCTAGGCGATCTACTCGTTGCCCAGCCAAACCTGTCTTGCACTCAGACTATGACATGTGACATTGACACTCGAACAGTTTGCTTTATGTCTTTAATTCTTTAACTGCTATTTGGCTATTGCATTTCTTGTTTTGCTAGTTTTTGATGACATTCCGTCATCCGTTAGGTTTCGTTTTAGCCTGGTCCGCGTTCACGTTTCTTGTTCTTACATTTTACTTGTCGTTGATCATTGGGTCGTATTTTAAGTCTTTGTCGAACCGTTAGCCTTTCGTTTCTTTTTGCACCAAAGACTTGGGGGAGATAGAGGATTATGTTATAGTTTGATGGTATATTTTTTTATCTTATTTGTTTACAGACCGTGATCATTGTTGAAGTCTACTGATATCGACTGACACAAATAGCCAGATCTTATTTAGGAACCAGTTGGGTAACTGGAAATGACTTCTAACTGGAAATGAATTCTAACTGGAACCAGTTGGCCAACTGGAAATGAATTCTAACTGGAACCAGTTGGGTAACTGGAAATGACTTATAACTGGAAATGAATGCTAACTGGAACTAGTTGGGTAACTGGAAATGAATTCTAACTGGAACCAATTGAGTAACAGGAAAATCATCTTACTGTTTCCAGTTGAACTTCTAACTGGAACCAGTTGTGTAACTGGAAATGACTCAACTGGAACCAATTGAGTAACTGGAAAAATTATCTTACTGGTTCTGGTTGCACGTCTTATTGATTTGAACTGGAAATGAGTACCCATGCATAACAATATATTCCAGTTGGGCAATTGGTTTCAACTGGAAATTTTCTATTCCAATTGAAACCAATTGAAACCAATTGAAACCAGTTGAAACCAATTGAAACCAGTTGAAACCAATTGAAACCAGTTGGAGATTTCAACTGGTTTCAATTGGATTTTGGTCCTGGGTAGAAATCAGTTTCCTCTATAGAATTCAATAGAATAAGTTTTCTATAGATTTGAATTTCTATAAAAAAGTTAATTCACTAAAATGAGAAGTTTTAAGGATGTCTATAGAAATCAGTTTTCAAATGTGACAATTAACATCAATTTTGTGATTTATATTTTCTTAGTCAATTATTGACAAATATAATATATATATGTCCGATTTTTTTAAACATGTAACTTAAGACGTAAAATAGATATATTAATATATATATTTAATTTACCAGTAAAAACAAACGTATAATTTTGTATATATGTATGTAAGATCTCCGCACTATTTAATTAACAATATATACTCAACTGTATTTTGCTTCAAATGATCTTTGTCGGATGGAGCAATTGCAGGAGTACATATAAATATGGTTTAGTCGGTGGCCTGATGTCATGCAATATTGATTATTAGTTATCAATTGATTGCTGGTCTAAAAAAAAAAGGTCTATAGAATTTAGTTACAAAAAAAACTTCTATAGAATTTAGTTACAAAAAAAAACTTCTATAAAATTCTATAAAAATTTTTATATACCTCATTTTAAGATTCTTTACTAATCCTGTCTTCTGATTGGTTGAAAATGCAGTCATGTTCTTAACCATGCCCGCTAATTGAAATTCATAGTCATTTTTCCCGGCTCTACCGGTTTATATCCATTTTTCATAGCACTTTTTCCATGGCTGTGAAACGTGACGTCATTTTGCTGCGATCCCCATTTTGGTTTACGTGTTACCGTATAAAGTTTCTTTTGTGCGATGACCGATGCGCAATACCGTTAACGGTGTTTGAGTGCAATTCGATTTTGGTCGCTGCATTCAGGCGACGAATCTACCAATCCACGCAGCGCAGACGACCGATCGCCATTTTGTGTACTAGTCTCGATCGCAAAATACTGGGGTTTTTTGTTTCCAGTCTGTGTAAATATGTTGCGAATTTGTGAATTTATAAAGTTACTGTTCATGTTCTACTGTTCTACTGGAGCACAGCTTGTTGGTGATATCATCCTGTACAAAAGTTACTGTTCGTGTAAACGTGTTTGGTATTCCCTGTTCTACTGGAGCACAGCTTGTTGGATTTCATACTGTACACAAGTTATTGTTGGTGTTAATATTCATGACTTCAAAGAGATGGAAACCTAAATGGGTGAGTCAACATTTTCCCTTTTTTCGGTATATAAAATATATATTGACTGCAATATTCGAGGCATAGTGGTTTCTATAGGGTCTCGGGAAACTCACAACCTGCTATGACCCCGCGGCGCAAGCGCCTTGGGGTCATAGCAGGTTGTGAGTTTCCCTTGACCCTATAGAAACCACTATGCCTCTCAAAGCAGTCAATATATCCTTACTATAGAATTTCTATAGGCCATTCTATAGAATGTTTTATAGAGATTCTATAGAGGTCCGTTATAGATTTCTATGGAATTTTTGAAGTGGCCCACTTTTCTATAGAATCTCTATAGACCTTTTTCTAAAACATTTCTATAGAATTGCTATAGAATAAAATGGTCTATAGAATTCTTTACAAAAAATTCTATAGAATTCTATAAAACAAATTCTATAAAATTTCTATAAAACAAATTCTATAGAATTTCTATAGGCCATTCTATAGAATGTTTTATAGAGGTCCGTTTTAGATTTCTATAGAATTTGTATAGAAAAGTGGCCCACTTTTCTATAGAATCTCTATAAAAACATTTCTATAGAATTGCATAGGTCTATAGAAATTCTATAGATTTTTTTTTTATAGAATTCTATAGAACTTTTTTGTAAGGGTTGAAACAAATTTTGTATCAATTCTAAAAGATCACTGCGCACGCACGCCGAGTAGCCGCCTGTTTTAAATCGGGCAAAGCTAGCTAGTTATCTATGCCATCGAAACCGGGCTGACCAGATTAAACTTTTCAAAAAGCAGAAACACGAAGTTGCAAACCATCCAGAGACTCCTAATAAATTGCGTTACTGATTAATTAATCATATCATTACAAATATTTATCCTCAGTTTTCTTATTTATAACTGATTTTCCTTACAAAATTCAAGATATGGCGTATATATTCAATACTGAATGAACGCCATTAAACTATTACCTACAACAACAACAACATCAATTCTACAAAAAGGAATTTCAAAGCGATGTCGTTCCACCATTGGTCATTGTCTTATTATTCGTTATCGATATCACCTGTAAATGTAATACGTGCCTTCCACTGATCTCTACGGAAAAAGACACAAACTTTGGTTTCTAATTACCGTACAAATGACCCTGTTTCATAAAACTTGATATCAATAACAAGTTACAAGCTACTGTTATAAGCTACTGAAATCAAGACATCTGATTGGCTGAGAGCAAATTTGTCATAGAAATTTTGCATTTGTTGTAGATAAAAAGTTTTATGAAACGGGCCCAGGAGAAAATCACTGCAGAATAGCGGATTATGTTGCTTCGATAAGAATCCCGTTGTTTGCAACGGGACAGCTGATCATGCACGGCGAAGGTAAAAATGTACTAGAACTATGTCCCGGCATGCTTTGCGATGAAACAACCGTGAATTGAAGGACGCTAACGTATTTTTTAAAAGTTTAATTTCACTTCACGTCACACGCGCACGCACAAACGTGAACATTTTTGCTACGTGAATCGTCCGTTTTTGTCGTCATAAAACATGTAAAATGAATGCTGCACCAACATTTGAATCATTTATCCTTTTCGATGGGGAAAAGAAGTAAGTCTGATTCGAACAGTGAAGATTTTTTTTTATTTCAGTCATGATTGTCTACAGTCTAACTTAGATCTAGATCTAGATCTATGCTATGCAATATTGTGTGGTGTGTGTATTTGTGTATGGGCCTAAAAATACTCGCCTCACAGCAAGCATGCAGTGCTAGAGGTCAATACGCATTGGCATCTGGGTGGAGTGGATTTGTGGTGTGAACTTTGGAGTAGATTTTAGCTACTTACACAGAAATCAATATGTGGGAACTGTAGATCTAGGTCATTCTGTCTTGCGTAGCTAGTATAGATCATCTAGTATACAAATAAAGCACGTCCCAAAGTGCAATAGCGGTGAATGCAGTAGATCTACACGCGAGGTTTCTTTAGATTGGTGCCGGTGTGACTGCGCCGTTTGTCCTACCAGTTTCGTTTGTCCGTCGGACATAATTTGCGGATTTTCTGCTCGCACGGATCGTCCGAGGGACGATATCCTTGCGGTATGCTATCCGCACATTCTGTCCCCCCCCCCCCCATTGTTTTACGTGTAGATTTGATAAAAGGAAGCAACTCGGCAAATCAATGTATTTATAATTTAGACTCATTGTAAATCATGTGGTTGACGTTTTTTCTAGAAATTACATAATAATAACTCTACAATTTTTTTAAAGCAAATGGGCCAGTCCTTTTGAAATTAGAAGTGAATATTTTCTTGAAAACCTTTATTCTATGAAGGCATACTCGTGATGTCGGCCCCACAACTGTTGTAATCGATTATACTTTTAAACGTGGCTTCGTACTTAAACCAACTCTCTACTAGTATAAATAGGGTCTATATACATATATATACTCGTGATACAGGCCCCGCAGGTTCTCAAGCAGGTTCATCCAGATACCGGCATCTCCAGTCGGGCCATGGTCATCATGAACAGCTTCGTCAACGACATCTTCGAGCTGTGGCGTGCGCCTGTAATCCAGCTAAAAAGTGGAAGTTACAAACTGATTCAGCCGAGGACGCAGGTTCGAAACTGAGTCACGTCTTTCGGATGGTGACGTTTAAAGGTCGGTCCCAGACATAAATAATCATATCTGATTGATACACGTCTGTAAAAACCCAATACACACACACACACCCCGCCCCAAGTATTTGGGGGCGTTTTGAAATTTAATGAAGGAGTTAAATGGGAAATAAAAGTGATTAAAAATGGGGTTGAAAGTGAGTGGGGGAGGCTAGATTATTTAAGATAGGGTAGAGCGTAGCACAAATTGGCAGATGCTCAGGGTGTAGAAGCATTTATTTACGGCTAGATGAGCATATTTTAATACCTAAATGGCGTATGGTCCAAAGGGCGGAGCCCACGGAAGCGCAGGGGTTTTAGGCATTCAAATTAAGGTCAGATTAGCATCCAGGCGCCATCCTTAGGTCCCAAGATAGGGTCCAGGGGGCAAAGCCCCCGGAAGCTCAGGGGTATGGGCATTTAATTACGGTCACATGAGCATACTTTCTTTTCCATTTCTTTCTATTTAATTCTCTTTAATATAATTTTTCAAAAGTGTGGGGGGGGGGGGATTGAGCCCCCAAGCCCGCCGTTCCACGGGACCTTACATGTAGGCCTCTAAATATTAAATAAGCACATTTCTTGCCCGACTGTAAATTTTGATATTTGTCATTCTCCAACAAACGCATAAATAGTATAATTTACTAAAAAGTGAGGAAAAAATCCCGGAAAATTAGGCCATTTTAGCAACATCTGTAAATCACTGGTATCAAATTAGAACCAAAAAAAAAAAAAAAGTACTTTTAAAGTTTATTTTGTTGGGGGGGGGGGGGGTAGCAACTGGCTGAATACTTACACCTATGGTGTCGAGGGGCTCTTTCTTTCTTTTTTTGTTCGGTAATAAATAAGGTCAGTTTATGTTGGTGTCACTCAGGCGCGAATATACGGGGGGCAATGGACCCGCCCCCCCCCCCCCCCCCGCCCCCTCTTTGAAAAAAAAAGAAAGGAAAGGAAAGGAAAAGAAAGGAAAGGAAAAAGTAAAGAAAGAAGGGCTAAAAACACGAGTTAGAAGTGAACCCATCAGGGCGCTCACTTATCCGTATCAGGGGAAAAATTAGACGGGGGCTCGGGGTGAATTAGCCCCCAAAATGCCAAAAAGAGCCCCCGAAAGTCATAAAAGTTGCCCCCGAAATTGTCTAAGTATTTTTTTTTCCCTGATCCGTATATAGGACAAGGCCCTGGGGCAGCTAGCCATACTCCGATATTTGGGTCGTTTTCCGATCAGAACTAGCCCCAACTATCATTCCAGGATTTTGTTTCAGAACCTGAGACAAAGTTACCCAATCCCTTTGGCCCGAATTCACAAAGGCGGTTTGTCGTCAAACCTCCTTTTGTTTCGACAAACCTCCTTTTTTTTTTTTACAAACCTGGTTTGTAAAAAACGCGTCAAAACGCGTCATATGACGTACATTAACCTCGGTTTGTCGACAAACCTCCTTTTTGAATTTGGGCATTTAAGTTTCAAAAAGTAGACTTCATTGACCTGTACATAGGCTTAGGAACTGGGGGGGGGGGGGGGCTTGTAGGGCACCGCCCCACAAAAAAATATATTGGGGGGCTCAGGTACAAAAAATTGTCTTCTTTTCATAATAATTTAATGAAACGTCTCAGCTAGGGAGGCCTTTCACCCATCCCCTCCCCCACCTAGGGAGCGCTTTGCGCACTCTTTAAATGATTCGCTTGCTCAATACTGCCCCTCCCTAAAATAAGATCATAGCTACGCACCTGCATTATAGCTATGATGCTTACTAAGTTGACGAAATAATTTGTATATTTATGTCGTTGACGAAAATGACCATTTGTGCATTTGTGTCGGTAATCGTTTGCCTCTATACCCCCCCCCCCCCCCACTGAAAAACGTCTAACGACACCCCTGACGACACATCAGGCCTATACTTGCGTTTTGTGAGAGGCTCAAGTATCCAGGCCAGCTATTTATAGTTGAGTAAGTTTTGAAGAAAAACAAAACGAGTACACGCTCTCCAATCGTATTGGTTGTTAGGGAATTTCGAATGTCATCAAATATGTTTTTTTCCTTTTAACAACATGATTTTTTTGCGACTAAATTCAGGCCTTGACTAAATATATTTTTTTTTGTAAGGCAACAGACAAGTAATTTAGTCATATACCTGATTAACATTTGAAGATTTCCTACACTAATGCCTGGCCGGGCGTAACCCATATTTGAACCCTAAGTTGCACCTGAAATTGCAACATGTGCATTATAAGCTCCAAACGCTTTCTTTCATACAAATACACCACCAAAAATCCCAAAGCTTGAATGCATACTATTTCACAAGATGTAATTAAACAATATGAATTATATTAATGATACACTTACTTGTACATGCAAATGCATGATCATTTTTGCGCTTCTTGCTCCCAGCAAGATAGTTTCCTTCTACGTTTAATTTTGTTGTTGTTAGGAGTTTATATTCATATTTTTGTTATCAAACAGGAATAAATAAATGAATATATAAATACATTTGTACAATGATGATAGAAGAACCAATAAAAAATCGCAACTGATCTTCCCTAATTCCTTTTCTTTTCTTCCCCTTTTTTTCCTGTCCCTTTCTCTCCTCTTTCCCTTTCACTTCCCTTCCTCCTCTCTCTCCCCCTCTCTCTCTCTCTCTTTGCTGAGGGGGGGGGGGGGGGTACAAAATGGAACAAATTGCAACTGATCTCCCCTACCTTCCTTCTTCCTCTTTTTCCCCTTTCACTTCCCTTACTTCTCTCTCTCTCTCTCTCTCATTTTATTTTGCTGAGGGCTTTCCCCCTCCCCCCGATCCACACGATTTTGATTGGATTAATCGCAACTGATCTCTGCTGCCTTTCACCCTTTTCTTTTCTTCTTCCTCTTTTGTGTTCCATTTTAGCTCTCCTCTTTCCCTTTCCCTTCTTTCTCTTTTTTTTTTTGGTGGGGAAGGGGTTGGGGTGGTAGGGGAGGAGGGGGGAGCGCAGAGGCAAAGCCCTTTTGCCCCCCCCCCGATCTCCTTCTTTCCCCTTTTTTTGCTTCTTCTTCCTTTCCCTTTGTCTCTTCTTTCTTCCTTCCTTCTTTCTTTCTCTCTCTCTCTCTCTCTCTTTGCTGAGGGGGGGGGGGGGGATGGCGAAGGCCTTTCGCCCCCAATCTCCTTCTTTTCCCCCTTTTCTTTTCTTCTTCCTCTTCTTCCTTTCCCTTACTCTCCACTTTACCTTCTCTCTCTTTCTCTCTCTCTCTCTCTTCATTTTTGGGGGAAAGAGGACACTTTTTTCAGGGGGGGGGGGGGGGGGGTCCCAAAAAATCGCAACGGCTCAGCCAGCCGCTGAATAAGCGCGGGGGGGGGGGGGGGGGGGGGGGGGGAGGGTAAGAGGACTTTTTTTTGGGGGTCCCGAAATAGGGTTTTTACATTTCATTAAATTATTAGAGAAACAAGACGACTCGTTGTACCGTTCTCAACTCTTAATCATTGTCTAAATTCAGTTCCCCCACCTCCTGCGCGAAGCGCGGAAGCTTTTACGTTTCATTAAAATTATTTAAGAAAGAAGACGATTCGCTGTAACGTTCTCGTCTCATAATCCTTGTCTCAGTTCCCAGTCCCCCCCCCCCCCCCCCCCCCCCCCCCCTCCTGCGCGAAGGCTTTGACATTTCATTAAATTATTAGAGAAGGAAGACGATCGGTGTACCGTTTTCGACTCTTAATCCTTGTCTGAATTTCAAAAATGTTTTTTTTCTGCTCCTTCCTCATCCTACGTCCTCTTCCTTTTTTATCCTCTCTTTTTTGGCCAACTTTTTTTTGTGGGGCCGCCCCCACCACCCCCTAGTCACGCCCCTGCGGTCAGATGAACACATTTCGATACCTTGTCCGCCCCCGGAAACTCAGGGGTTTAAGGCAATAAATTACGGTCAAATAAGCATGCAGGGTCCCGCCTTAGAGCCCCTGGTGGGGTCGAGGGTGTGGAAACCCCGGAATCT